CAGAGAAACCCTGTTTAAAAAAAAAAAAAAAAGGCACACAAGGTTGGGTAGATGGCTCAGTCAGTGAAGTGTTGCCTTGCAAACAGGAGGAACTGAGTTATCCTAGAACCTGTGTTAAAAAGCTGTACATAGCCTGGGAAGGCAGAAGCAGACAGATCTCTGTGAGTTCTAGGCCAGTCTGCTCAACTGAGTGAGTTCCAGGATAGTCTCCAAAGCTACAGAGAAATCCTGTCTCAAATCAGAACAAAGCAAAGCAAAGCAAAACAAAACAAAACAAAACTGTTCATATTAGAATCCCAGAGCCAAGTGGGTCCCTGAAGCTTGAGTTCAGGTCAATCGAGAGACCATGTCTCAGAAAACAAGGTAGGCGGGGTTTGAGGAAGGTTCCCACAGTTGACCTGCTAACCACTATTAAGTACTTTAAGGTTGGGCGGGAGTTGGCTCAGAGGTTAAGAGCGCTGTCTCTTCTTCCAGAGGTCCTGAGTTCAATTCCCAGCTCATAAACCATCTATAATGAGATCTGGTGCCCTCTTCTAGAGTGTAGACCACAGGCAGAACACTATATACATAATAAATAAACTATTAATAATAATAATAATAATAAAAAGAACTTTAAGATTGAACTTTAAGATTGAGCCAATGGCATGTGGCTCCTGGAGAGGTGTGAGCGGACTGTGGGAATCAGAAAGCCAGAGGGAAGGGTGGGGTATGAGTCACTGCAAGCACCAAGGCCACTGGGTAAGATAGAGGAGCAAGCGCTAGGGGCTGATGCAGGATATGGAGCAAGGGTCAGGCCTTGCCCTTTGCCCCCTGGTCACAGATGGAGTGCCAGTGTGGCCCTGTCCTGAAAACCACCATAGAGAAGCAAAAGCGTCCCAAAGAGTGAGGGAAAGGTTCAGGAGACAGAGGAAAAGCCTGGACAGTGACTGTCCTTTCTGACTTCCCCAAGTAAAGTTCCAGCCAGGGCTTCCTCTCTTCCTGAACCCCTCATAATTGTTAGGTCAACAAAACCCCAGTAGCTCATGCTTCTGCCACCGACCAGAAGTCTTAGTTTCCTGACAATTCCCAGAGCTGAAAACAGTCCAGATGTTCCTAATTAGTCAGATTCCAGGAGGGGAGAAATGGGGCATAGGTCAAGTGTGCTGAGGATTAATTAATTAATTGATTAATTAATTAATTTTCTTTCCTTTGAGAAAGTGTTTCACTCTGTAGCCCAGTCTGGCCTAGAATCCATTATGTATCCCAGGCTGTGGCCTTGAACTAGAAGTGATCCCCACGTCTAAGATTCCCAAATGCTGGGCGTATAGGCACGGGCCATTGTGCCTGATCGATCCTCTCCCTTGTTTGTAAATTATATCCTCTAAATGAGAGAAGGCTGCTTAGCTTCCTTAGGCCTCAAAAACACAAACCAAACCAAAGCAACAAAACCAAAAGTTGATCTCTGGCCTCAAACCCATACTCCTGCACAGGGACCTACATCCCCACACCCACCCCGACGCAGGAATACTCACACACAAAAAAAAGTGACATAAAGCTACATTTGGCTTTGAAGTGCATTGCATCTGATTGGCCATGTAGTCTGGGAATGAGTCCTGTGAAAGTTATGTCACTGGGAGAGCTGTATAAGGTATTATAAGATGTGCCACCCCCTCCCGCCATCAGGCCAGCTCATCATAGTCTCTAGGGGAAGGGCTTCGCCATGACGTTTTTAAAGGAGCCTACCCATGGTTCTGACATGCATTCAGGATGTGGATGACTATGCCGGAAAGGTTGATTGGTGCAGGTCCTGGCTGTATAACTGGGTCTGCATTTACCACTCAAACAGGGCCGGGACTGGTGGCACATTCCTGCTGTTCCAGCTACTCAGGTGGCTGAGGCAGGAGATTTGACAAGTTGAGGAGTAGCCTGCCTGGGCTGCGTGGTGAATTCAGGGATGGCTTAGGCAACTTCCTGAGACCTGGTTTTAAAACTAAAAATTGAAAGAAGGGGTGGGACTCAGTGGTAGAGCACTTCCTGGTGACATAGGAAAGGGCCGGAGTTCAGACCTCAGTGCCGAAAAGATGACCTAACCTCTCTTCACTTTTTTTTTTTCCATTAGAAAAAAATAGGGATCATAGTGTGTAGTGTAAAAAGTTATCATATAAGGGCTGGTGAGATATTCTCAGAGCATAACAATGTTTGCAGCCAATCCTAAACACATGAGTTTGATCCTTAGGACACACACCGTGAAAGAATAGGACCGACTCCCATAAGTGGTTCTCTGACCTGCGCATGCATACTTTGGTGTGAGTATATATACACAGGTACACACACACACACACACACACACACACACACACTCACAAACACAAATAAATGCATGAAAGATTGTCATGCAAATCCAATGAAATAATGTAGGAAAGCACTTAGCCACATACTTTATTTTGGTGCTTGGTAAAGGCTCCATTAATAGACAGTGTTATTGTTAGGGTTACTATTTTCGTTTTTTGAGACAGGGTTTCTCTGCATAGCTTTTGGAGCCTGTCCTAGAAATCGCTCTGTAGACCAGGCTGGCCTCGAACTCACAGAGATCTGCCTGCCTCTGTCTCTCAAGTGCTGGAATTAAAGGCGTGCACCACCATCACCAGCTCCTGGCTGTTAGCATTACTACCTTTAACTTGGCAGAAGGGATAAAATACCTCCCTAGAGACAGTTTTTGTGGACTCTGCCCTTGCTAGTACAGATAAACCACACAAAACAATCAAACAAACGAAACGGTTGTGTAAGCACACACAGGTGACAATCATACCCCACCCCTCGGAAGGCCCATGGAAGATTCTGGGGAGACCTCACTCCACTCCCAACAGGGCTGGTGAGAAACTAGGGTTCCGAGCAGAGTAATATCCTGTTGTGGGTGATAAATATTTAGTTTTGTAACTGTTTGCCCAAACTCAGGATTCAAGCTAAATCCCCTTTGCGTATAAGGACAGTGGATCATATACATGGCTGGAATAAATAACCATGGCTTTCAGTTAAAAGTAGAAATTAGGTGCAGCCAGATGAGCTGCGTAACCCCACCCACGTGGTTGTGTGGAAGGGCCTCTACGGGGCGGATTCGCTTTCTCAGTTGCTGAACTCTCCACGAGGGTTGTCCCCTATGTTGACAGATAATGTTTGCTGCCAGCACAGTTCCTTCTAACCCTCCAGCTTCTGTCCCTTTGCTGAAAGATGACAAACACGATGAAACTATTTCCATTGAGAAACCCCTTGAGAAGGTCAGCCACCTGCAAAAGAGCTGCCCGCAGCATCATAGAAAACAGGTGTCCTCTTTGCTTTCACAGACCTCAGCCTAGGCGCCTGCCTTCTGCTTGGAGATAATGATTTACTTCTTGGACCCAAAGCCTTGGCCTTGCTTTAGCATCTGGCCTCAAAGGTTAAGCAGGGCCCTTTGAATGTCATGCATCAACAGCCTGTAAATAAAAGGGCCCCATCTTTCCACCCACTCATACCAAAAGTATCCAGGCAAGTGCTCCTCCCAGGGCTGGGAAGACCCCCCCCCCCCCCAGGTTGCCCAGCACATGTCTGTTGCTCAGACTCAGTGCTGTTTGACCTTAAGCTGAATATTGCCGGACATCCTGACCCTCGTGGAAGCTTGGCTTATGCTGTCAGGATTTTCTGTCCCCTATGCATGGATAATTGGAGTGGTCTTGTTCTGTGTGTGTGTTTTGGGGAGAGAAGGCTTTGGTGGCAGACCAGATCGAAGAACTTTTCCGTCTGCAGTGACTGAATTTAGTTTCTTGAGCCCAAAACACTTGAATGTAAGCAGCCCATAGGGTAGGGTCTGTTTTGTGTTCTGCTTCTTCTGTCGACACTTGGGGGACACTTGGGGGACTCCAGAGCTCCTTGTGTGCCAATCCCAGGAATTTGGAGCACTTCCGGTCTGGTGTGCGGAGCCAGGGACATCAAAGGTTCTGTTTGTGGCCATGAGGGCGCAGAGGGAGGAAGCCTGCATCTTGGTAGCCTCGCCTCCCCACCCTTGATTGCTTTTATTATTTACACCAGCCAAAGTTGGGGAAGTTGCATGACCACAGTGTGTGTGTGAGCCACATAGAGCGCTTGCCTTGGAAGAACTTCTTACACGCGAACCTTGTGGAATCCCTGGCCTCTGGCTCAACTGGGGATGAGGGTGGGGTGTGTGTGTGTAGGAGTGGTGGAGCCCGTCATGGTTAATTCAACGCAACATGTGTATTCAGGATGTTTCCTTAAAACATGACCTCATCTCTTCCAGCCCACAGGCTGTCATTATATCGGTGGTCACTTTTGACTTGGCTACAAAAATAATGCCTACCATTACTAATGTGAAAGTTCATAGATTGCACATGGGATATTTTTACCTCCCCCCCCCCACCCCAGGAGGCAAGCACTCAGAAAGATGGCTGATGCTGTCTCATCAGAACCACTCAAGGGAAAACAAAGCAAAACAATAAATCCACACTAGATCAATCAGGCACTGGGTCTCTTCCAAAGAATTGCAGCTTTTATTTAATTATTTTTCAGTGCTACAGATGGACCTGAGGGCTTCATTCACACGGGGTCGGTGTGAGCAACCTGGAGGGCCCTGTTCTCTGTTTCTTTCCTCAGACAGGCTCATGGTCAATGGGAGGACAAATTCATTTACTCAACAAAGATTCTTTAAACACCTAGTATGTCTTGAATCTCATCGTACAGGGACCCATGAGATGCAAGGCATAAACAGAACAGTTTAAAGAGGGGGATACAATTAACAGACGCCTCTGTTTATATATGTTAAGTCCAGTAAAAGCACAGCATGACTGAAAGTTGTTAACTAGTTGGGGGACAAATGGCTGGGCAGTAAAACTTTTTTTTTTTAAGAAAGCCATTTCTTTGTTGAAATTATTGGACACGCTTAGAGAGGGACAGTTCTCCCACAAGGCAGCTGTTAGCTGAAAAAGAACACCCGTACCCCCCTCTGATATTCACAGAACTGCTTCTTCTCTTAGGCGGAAGTTCAGCCAAGCAGACTACCTGGGAAGGTGGGCATCGGGTTCCAGCACTGGCTTACTGGCCTGGCAGAGTTCCAGCCAATGTCACTAGCACCGCCTTGTTAAGGTAGGAGATCTGAATGACTTTTAGCTGTCGGGGTTAGAGCTGGAGCTGATGTGGACACACTGGTGGCTGGAGATCTTGGCAAACTCATTGCTCACTGGGTACATGAATTAGCCAGGAATTCTACATATGCTTGAGCTCTGAAGGCAGCGGTGTGGATTTCCCTACAAAGCAATTCCTTATGGTAAAGTAGGCTGCAGAGGTGTGCTAAAGAGGAAAGCAAACAAAGATGGCAGCCGGAGTGAAGTTCCTGTAAACTCTATTTATCCCCAGGGTTAGGGTAGATGTCCTAGGTGTTTGTGAGAAACCTGCCCATCACTGGTGATCAAATGACCCCAAGAAAAAAGTACAGACATCTGAATGTCCTGGAGGCTAGGAAGGAGACAGATGACCTCAGTGGACTAAGAGGGAAAGAATTAACCCTTAGCTGAGGATGTCATCCACCCTTGGGGAGTGCAGATTCCAGTGGTATCTGGGAACCTAGAGCACCTAGGAACATCTTTAATCAGGAGTGCTGTGTGTACAACACCTCTCCACTGTCAGTACAGCATCTGTCCACTGTATGCACAGTATCTCTCTACTGTATTAAGGCAAATAGATAAGGCCAGTTTCTTGGTGGAAAATCTGGCTATGATGGGTCTCTAGAAACACCGCCGTGGAAACTAAGGAACCCTGACTTATAGCTGGGACCCCTCACTGATTCATTTAAAAAGTATTTGTTTATTTATATATTTGATGTATGTGTGCACGTAGTGTGTGTGTGTGTGTGTGTGTACATGCATGTGTATAGAGAGGCCAGAAGTTAATCATTTAATCATTGGAGTCATTTTTCGGAAACCCCCCCACACCTTGTGTTTTGTCCCATGACTTTATTTAATTTTTAAGATTTGCTCAAGTGACAGTGCTCTGCCTACAGGCATTTTATGTTTACTATGTACGTACAGTGTTGTGAGGCCAGAAGAAGAGGACGTCAGATCTCCTGGAAATGGAGTTACAGTCAGTTGTGAGCCATCCTGTGGGGGCTGGGAACCAAACGTAGGTCCTCTGAGTCATTTCCCCAGTCCCTCACCTTTCTCTATGAGACAGGGTCTCACACTATGATCTGGGGGGCTCAGTGATTTGGTTAAGCTACCTGGCCAGCAAGTCCCAGGGGTGCTTCTGTCTTTGCCTACCCATCACTGAGATTACAAGTGCCTGTTGCCACACCCAACTTTTTACATGGGTGCTGGGGAATCGAACTTGGGTCTTCACGCTTGTATGGCAAGCATTTTACCAAGTGCCCTCTCTCCCAAGCCCATCTTCTTACTGATCCAGATGGGCCATTCCTGTCTGGTTCTGCCTTGTCCTCACCAACGCAATAGAGCCACCATAGAAGTACTTAACACCTGTGCTCAGAACAATTCTGTCTGGCTGCCTGAGAGGTTGTTTGTCACGGGCCTGATAGGTTCTGGCAGGAGAACAATGCCAACCAGAGGACAGAAAGCGTCACCAGCACCCTCCAACACCTCCGGATTCAGTGGGGAGGAAGGGCTGAAACCGAAGCCAAGGGCAGGAGGGGTGGGCAGTCCCAACGGCCACAGAAATGGGCGGGCAGGTAGGCATCACCCCTTCCAGCCTTCAGATCCTGCAGGGGTTGTGGGTCCCCGCTGAGCTATCAGGAGGGCGTGGTGTGCTGTTCAAGGGAGCCAGCAGGTGTGACAACAGCCACACAGCTTGGAATCTGTGATGTCAGGCTGGCTGGAAGAAGGCCAGGAGGGCTGCTTTTATAGATGCGACCCGGCTGTATCCAAGTTGCTTATTACGGCCTAGGGCAAGTGCTGGGCTGCACATCCGCAAATAACTCCATAGACTTCAAGGCTTGGCTTTTTAGTGCCGGAATGTAAGCAGTGGCTTTATAGTTTGTAGCTGAGAATTGCGTTTGTACCTGCCATCAACTACTGGGCCACAATAAACTATAGTGGAGAGAGGACAATGGCTGAGGCATATTGGTGACTTGGTAGAGACAGCATTTTCCTGAGGGCCTGTGGCACTTTATCAGAAGAAAACTAGAGGAGAGTGTCAGCCCCTCTTAGGATATTTTGGAATTAGTCTGAAGGGCAGCCAGGCTTTCTCTCTCCTGCTCCTCCTCTCCTGTCAATCCATGCAAGTGACCGCCTTTTTCCTGTGACCCCTCATGTCAGCACTTAGAGAGGGATCATGATTTTGATCCGTGTTCTAAAGCCGAGTGCTCACGTTTCATTTCCTGGGATCCCAGGATGGTCACGCGTTTCAGTACTTTGTCCTTGCAGCCCAAGTTCTTTCAGTTTCTCTTCAGATGGCCCAAGAGATTATGGCGTCCTAAAGTAGTCAAGTTAATGGACATACTGTCGTGAATGCAGAAAACTTTAAAAAAGAGTGCTCAGGGAGATTTGTGTGGAAAGTGCCAAGATGGTTTAGCTTACAGGGGTGCTTGCTGCTAAGCCTGGCCACCCCTGGTTTCTGCATGGTGGTGAGAGAGGACTGAGTCCTGCAAGTTGTTCTCTGACCTCTACATGTGCACTGTAGTGCTGGTGTGTCCCCGCACAAACACACAATAAACAAACAGACATAATTAAATTGCAAAAGAATGTGCTAGGCTAGGTGCGTGCATGCACGTGTGTGTTTGTGTGTGTGTGTGTGTGTGTGTGTGTGTGTGTGTGTGTGTGTGTGTGTGTCTGGAGAGATGACTCAGCAGTTAAGAGCTGGCTGCTCTTCCACAGGTTCTCTAGTTCAATTCCTAGCAGCCACATGATGGCTCACAACCATCTATAATGAGATTGATGCCCTCTTCTGGCATAAAGCTGTACGTGCAGACAGAGCGCTCATACACATAAAAAGAATGTGCTAGGGACACAGACCTCATCTTTTAAAGATACCCAGTTAATATTTGGATGTGCGCCTCAACAGTATAATAATATTTTGAGAAACTCTGCACTAGAATTGTAGGGTGAAATTATCATAACTTTTCTATTTTGCTCCCAAAGCCATTCTTCGGAAGGTAAGTGCAATTCTCAAAATCAAGAAACTTCCCAAGCTTATTTGCTCATGAGTACTTCCCTAATCTCCAGGGTAATGTTTCACCGATAGTTGGAGCCAGCAGGAAAATATTTGTTAAGTAATGGGTCGTCTCCATTTGGTAATCATGTCTTCAGGCTTTGACAGTTATGTGCAAGATCAAACTTAACACAGTGTGTATTTTGAGCAGGTAATTCTTTGCTCTGGGGGTGGGGCCTGTCCTGTGCATTGTGGGATGTTTAACATGATGCCAGGCCTTTTCCTGTGACAACCAAGGTATCTCCAGGCAGTGCTGAATGTCCCCTAGAAGGACAAAATGACAAGTTGAGAACCAAAACTTTAATAAACTTTCTTTTAGTCTTAAGAAAGAAGGTGAAGGTTCTACTCCATACCTGAGATGGGTATATCCATTCCTGTTCTGGATGGAGGACCATACCTGGTACTGTACCTGAGATGGGTATCTCCATCCCTGTTCTGGATGGAGGACCACACCTGTTCTGTACCTGAGATGGGTATCTCCATCCCTGTTCTGGATGGAGGACCACACCTGTTCTGTACCTGAGATGGGTATCTCCATCCCTGTTCTGGATGGAGGACCATACCTGGTACTGTACCTGAGATGGGCATCTCCATCCCTGTTCTGGATGGAGGACCACACCTGTCTAGAGCAGAGACAAGCTAGAGTTGGCTGGACTGATAAGAAGATCTTGCAACACCTCACTGGAAAATGAGCTGGAGCTGCAGAGAGGTTCCAGCTTACCCCAGGGGGGCCCTCCCTGCTAATACTAGTAAGATAGTGGTTCTGTGGAAGGGGTGAAGGTCAGCAGATTCTGTCTTGTCTGCAGGCATGTCTGTGTCTGTGGGTGCAGACACAGAAGCTGTAAAGTCTTTGTCCACATCATGTCCTGTGGTCTATAGGATACATCTGGGCGGTACCCAGCCATGCATCCCCTTTCAAGGGCATCTGCTCTCTCCTGGTCTGGCAGTGGTAAAGATTTAGGGAGATGAGTCAAGGTCTCTTTCCTGCCTGGAGAAATTCTGTCCATAAGAGGCATTTGTCATATTTGTTGCTCAACGTCCCCTGACACTCTAGGACCCTGCTTTCTCTGAAGTGGGTACTCTTGGGGCCAGGCTTGTCTGTAAGAGAGACTCAAGGGTGGGAAGGCCCTGGGATGGGCTGCCAATCAAATGTGAACACAGGCTAGCCCCTGAAGCCTCTGCAGTGTGACTAAGACCAAGAAGGGGTGGAGACCTCCCTTTTTCAGGGAGAATGAGAGGGAATAACAATATGGAAAGACAATTACAGTTAAATGCTAAAAAAGAACCTGTCTCTGTATCCTAGGGACAGTTCATTCCTCCAGTGGAGGTGGTTCTGTTCGCATCTCTTCTATTCTTGGCACCTTTCTGTGCTTACCTCTGTTACTTCCAGGGAGAGAGGAGATGAGAGGCACTCCTTTATCCTGGTCCAAGTCTCCCCAGCCCTTCCCTGATACCCCACTTCTCTCTTTCCATCTTCGGGTCAGATTTCCCCCAGTCCGGTTGCCCTTAGCTTCTAGGAAACCCTCCTTCCTAGCCTCTCCCTGCCTATTGTGACATCTCTGTTCCTACCCACCCAACCTTGGAGCCCAGGGATGTTCTACCAAAGGAAAGCCCCTCCCTCCATGGGACCCTTTAGCTCCCTTCCTGCTGGCATAGCTTGGGGTGCGGCAAGCAGAGCCCTTCTGCACCCTCATCACCACCGCCCAATCTCTACTCCCTTTGACACCTCACTTGGATGAGAGCACCAACCGGTTGGATGGGGTAGTGCAAGCCCTTGGTCCCAGCTACTTGGGAGGAGCAAGACAGGAAAACAATTGCTTGAACTTAGGAATCCAAAGCAGCCTGAACCACGTAGCAAGATCTTATCTCTAAAAACAATGCACAGAAACACACGCATCTCCTAGGAACAAACTTCAGAGAAACATGAAACAGAAAATAATCTGGTAAAGATACAAGAATGCAGAAGGTGTCTCCCGCCCGCTCCCACGCTAACCTTTTGTTCACCGTGCAAGCCCTCTGTCCCAACCCTCTCCTCTCACAAGTGGGCACTGCCTTCCTCTCTCACTATCAGAGGGTCTCTGGACGTGGTGCTTGGGGGGAGAGGGAGAAGCCAACTTATACATCAGGCCCATGAGTGCCAGAGCCCATAAAATGTTCACGTCAGGGGTCCAGGGGTGTCGCTCAGTTGGTCGAGTGCTTGCCTGGCTTGCACAAAGCCCAGCGTTGGATCCCCAGTACTGCATACACAGGGTGTGGTAGCACATGCCTGTAATCCGAGCACTCTAGAGATCAGCCTTGGACACATGACAGTCTTGTGTTTAAAAAAAAAAGAAAAAGAAAACACTTGGGGCTAGCGAGATTTCTCAGTGGGTAGGAACCCACGTACAAATCCTGAAAAAGCCAAGTGCATGCCTGTAACCCCAGAACCCTGGGGGATGGAGATGGCAGAATCATTAAGTCTTGTCAGCTGCCAGCCTACCTCCAGATTCAGTGAGAGGCCCTGTCTCTACTGAACAAGGTGGCAGGTGATAGAGCAGGACACATGGCATCCTCTTGTGCGTTCTGGTGACGTGCCGAATGTGCACCTGCACATAAATGAATGTACAGCACATGCCCACTCTCTCACACACATGCAGAGCAAAGAAGAAAGGAAAGGAAAAATACTTTAAAGTGGAATGAAATTGTTTATGATATATTTACCTTATGTCAATAGTTATAAAATGTAATACCTTCCCTTTTTTTTTTTTTTTTTTTTTTTTTTACTTTTTAAAATTCTGTGTATGTGTGTGGGGTTATGCACATGTGAGTGCAGGTGCTCACAGAGGCTGGCATTACAGGAAGTTGTGGGTTGCCCGATGTGGGTGCTGGGAATCGAACTTAGGTCCTTGGCTAGAGCTATGCCATCTTCCCAGCCCCTCTTTTATAACAGTGGAAAAAACCCATGAAAGCAAAATGTCCACCTGGCTCAGCATCAGGGTGAACTCACTGGACCTAGAGAGTTGGGCTCTGCAGGTTTGGGGTTTCATTTCTTCATTTCCTCTAGTTCTTCAAGGTTTCAAAGACTTCTGGGACCTGTTTCTTGGGTTAAGACTGAGGTTTGGAGGGTCACCAGTAGCCTCAGTAAGACAGATCTGCCCTCCATGTTCCTGTGCAGGAAAGCCAGGCCTTGGGTTGGTGTGTTCCAGGGCTAAGCTCAGGGGCTAGGCTTCTGCCATTCTCTGAGGAGTGATTTGCTGACAGCCTGGGCCTGTCCACACGGGACTGCGCCACTGTGAGCAGTGTGAGTCTCCAGACCTGTCAAAGAAGTTTTCTTAGTGATAAAAGTTCTCTTTGAGTTCTGGGGAGACTAGACTCCTCTGGAGGGCATGCCAGACTGTGTCACACACCGGGCTTCCCTGAGCGTTAGATTTAGATTAGTGCTGTGTAGTCAGGATGCCAAACCTCATGATGCAGAGGAGAAAAAAGCCGGAAAAAAAGAAAAAAGGATGTAATTCATTCTAAAAGTGTAATGCAAGGTCTGTTTCTCTAGTTTGGCCTGTCTGTGATGCTGGTATCTCTTAAGATGGAAAAAGAAAATCTACGGTCTACTTCAAATGTGTGTATGTGAGTGTGAGTGTTTGTGAGTGTATTTATGTGTGAGTGTGTGAGAGTATGTGTGAAAGCGTGTATGTGTGTGTGAGTATGTGTATGTGAATGTGTGTTTAACTGTGTATGTATGAGTGTGTGTGTGTGTGTGTGTGTGTGTGTGTGTGTAGGGGGGCCAGAGAACAACCTCAGCTGTTGTTCTTCAAGCACTGGCCTAAAACTCATTAGGTTAGCCTGACAGGCCACCCATCTCCACCTCCCCAGTGCTGGGATCTGGGAACCAAAGTGCAAGGCAAGCACTTTCATAGCTGAGTTATCTCCCCAGTTCATTTCAAAACCTAACGTGTGTGTGTGTGTGTGTGTGTGTGTGTGTGTTGCACGTGTATTGGTCAAGAGTGTTTGTTAAACAACCAAGAAGACTGTGCTTTGGATCCCAGCAGCCATATCCCAAGCTGGATGCCTGTAAGCCCAGCTCCAAGGTGGGCGGGGTGAGACAGAGTGAGGAAGGTCACTAGGGCTTGCTGGCTTCCAGACTAGCAGAGAGCACACACACCCCAGGTTCAGGGAGAGATGCTGCCCCAAAGGAAGAGTGACTGAGGAGGACGGCCAATACCATTTACCAGCTTCTGTATGTGCGTACAGGTGTGTAGACACCTCCACACGGTATGCACACCCCACACATGTGCTCATATGCACACAAATGAAAACAATCTATTGTAGATTGTAGATCCTGTTTTTCTTGCTTATGGGTTTGATACTGATCTCTCTTAGGTGTGTGTGTGTGTGTGTCAGAGAGACACATACACACACACACACAGAGAGAGAGAGAGAGAGAGAGAGAGAGAGAGAGAGAGCAGAGTGCCAACAAACAACTGCTTTTAGACCATGCTGTAGACCTTATTGCTTCCTGGTTTGTGGCAGGAACCTTGGACTCTGGACAGGTTTCCAGACTGTTCTGTACTCCACCGAGTGCTGACTCTGCATGCCTGCACCAGTGTGGGATGCCAGCTCCTGGAGTGCCTATCTCAGGAGATAAGCCACCAGTTTTGTGAACTGTGAACGCTCCAGGCAAACAGAAACACTTTGTCCCACAGTCAACAAGAAATTCTGCTGCAGGTCATAAGCACAGCCCTGGAGAGAGGAAGGATGTGGGCAGATTGGAGATGCCACACATGTGATGGGTCTTTTCCGTAGCCTCTGAGGAAGTCAGAGAGCCACTCCCTTGAACTCAGGGTGGATACATGGGGAAGACATGGCCCCGAGAATTCTGATGTTGTCCCAGCCTCTAGGTACCAGGACCTCTTTTCTGGGAAAATCTAACCCATGACAGAATTCATGTTGGCCTAGCCCCGGCTCTGACAAGTCCCATTGGCTCTCAGTTCCCTTGAGTCTTCCATAAACTGCTGTGTTGAAAGGGCAGCCACTCTACTCTTCCTGATGACCCATCCCCATCTCATCATATGAGCACTTTGGGAGGTGTGCAGTGTGGTATGGTTCCACATGACACAAGCCTGTAATCTTAGCCCTCATAAAGTGGAGGCAGGAGAGTCAGGAATTCAAGGCCAGACTGAGTACGTGAAACCCGGTCTTAACAAACAACAAACAAACAAAACAGAAAGGAATAAAATCACACTAACAAGACCCACCAAAAATCTTAATAGTGGGTGGGGTTGGGAGATGGCTCAGTGGGTAAGGCTCTTGCTACTTAAGCATGAAGATGTGGGTTTGAATCCCCAGCACCTGTGGACAGGCTGGACACATCTGGAACCCTAGTGCTGGAAGGGAAAGCATCCTGGGGCCTCACTGACCAATCAAGCTGATATCGGGAGACCCTGTCTCAGAAAACATGACATAGAGTGAGAGACGAAGACAGCTGGTGTTAGCCTCGGCACACATATTCATGTGGGCAAGCATGCATACACTGACTGCGCACACACATACACCCCACACATGCATATACCCCACGCATGCATAAACTGCACACATAAGAATTCCAATACTTATTTATCTATCTATTTTTTTTAAATTTCATGTCCATTGGTGTTTCGCTTGCATGTGTGCCTGTATAAGGGCATCAGATCTCCTGGAACTGGAGTTACAGATAGTTGTGAACCACTGTGTGGATGCTGGGAATTGAATCCAGGTCTTCTGGAAGAACAGTCAATGTTCTTAACTGCTGAGCTATTTCTTCAGCCCCCAGAATTTGAATTCTTAAATGATAAATAGTAACAGTCATTACCCTCAAATGATGGACTAGTTATGTGTTAGTTTCTTTTTTATATTTCTGTGTGTTCTAAGATTTTTTTTGTCATAAAACATTCACTATTTTGTAATGGGCAAAAAAAAAGTTAAAGTTAAGTCAGAGAACTGGAATATTTCATAAGTCATAACTAAAATTTCACATACTTCAGTTAAAAACTGAATATCCATGAGGGAGAGATTCAGGCAATGGAGAATGAAGTGTTTTCTTGCAAACCCCTGCCACCCAGCCACACGCTACTCCTGATAAGGCAGTGGCCAACTCTTACTCCTTGGGTTCAAAGGTATGACCCTGTGAGTAATTATAAGACAAACAGCCAGCAAGTGCCAAGTTCCTGTATATCTTCCCTCTGTGTTTTACCCACACATCCACTCTGTGAGGCAGCTATTATTATTAAACCACACATTTTACACAATCACAGACTTCAGAATTGGATCTTAGACAGGTGGTGGGGCTGAATGTGAGCCTATGCGACACCTGGCCACCTCTTGCCTCTTGTAGTTGAAATCCAGGTAGAACCCCAAAGAGAAACGATGTGGGCTGCAGGAAAGGCAACCTGCTTGTGCTATAGGCTGCTGCGGGTGGGGTTTGGTCACAGGGAAGACTGGGAGAGTTGGAGTTGAGGCCAACTGTGTCTTGTTCTTTCTACAGCATGCTAGACATCTTCCCCACGGCGATAGCCCTGGCAGGAGCCAGCTTGCCTCCAAACCGGAAATTCGATGGGTTTGATGTCTCTGAGGTGCTCTTTGGCAGGTCACAGGAGGGGCACAGGGTAAGTGGAGGAAGCTTGTGTCTGGGCTGTGTCTCACATCTCACACCTGATACCTTCGTACAAATGACCGCCTCAGGAGGCGCATGCCAATGGCTGGTGAAGACCCCGTGCAAAAATTCCCGGTGATGAATTTCAGAGTCGAACAGCCTCCAGTAATTCAGTTTCCTAATCCAGATTTATATTTAACATTTTGACTTACTGTAGAACTTTTTGAGCCTTTATTATCTCCAAGGCTTAATTTTCTTTTTTCTTTTTTCTTTTTTTTTTTTCTACATGCACTCGATTTTCTGACATGACTTGGGCACTCAGCACGTTTTTGTTGGAGAAGATGCCGGTGCAACTGTAGGCTCAGCTAGAATGGATGCTCTATGGGGGCAAGGGTCCCATCTGTAGGGTTCAGTGTTCAGTTGTCATGGACGTAACAGCATCTGTACCCAGCCAGCAGCCAGTGAGTACAAAGTGGATGAATGAATGAATGCATCAAAGTCATGAAAGTCAGCAAGGTCTTTACATTCCCAGCATTCTCCCTGCTCTGGGAGGGCTCAGCACACACTTCCCTTCCCATCTTGTTATTTTGTTGTTGTTTACTTGTTTACTTTTGAAAGACCCTCTTACAACAGGCTGATGTAGAACTTGCAATCCGTGTGCCTCAGCCTCTTGAGTGCTGGGATTGCAGGTGTGTGCTACCGTAGCTATCTGCCTGTTCTTGAATTTAGCAGCCCCTGGCAATGACTCTGGGCTTCTACATTCCAGGATCCTCCTTACTGTCCCCTTCTCACAGTGCTCTGGGGCACCAAGTGGCAGCCAGGGAATGTCCGTCCTGAGGGGCTGTCCCTGTCCCTTCCGTGTGTGTTTACTAAAAGGAAAAGGAAGCGGGGGAGGGGGGAGGGGGGGTTGGAGACCACTGAATGTGCTCCTGCAAGCACCCGGTAAACTGGGTGGAGACCCATGCTTCTGTGGGTCTATTTATGACTTTGAGGGGGGATCATGGGAGTGGTTCAGTTGTGCTGGTGGGCGCTGAGGCACCTTCCCACGTCATCCAGAATCCCAGCCTTGAGTGGCACACCACACTTCTGCAAACACTGACCAAGTTCTTAGGGCTTGGCAGATGAGACCCCAACAGTCCTCTGAAGGAGTCTTGGGTCACTCTCTGCAGAGCTGCAGATTCTCCGTGCCTGGCCCTCTGGAACAGCATGACTCAGGAAGACAGTTTCCACCTTAAGCTGGAAGTGCCCTGTGACCCTAGCAACACAATTTCCACAGAGAGGTACTCCTGCCATGGCTACTAATAGAATAACTGGGGTCACCAGGAAGTGATTTCTTGATGTTGTCAGGCCTCCTGTGGACACCAGCTCCCCCCGAGCTTACTTCTCGTTGTCGTACTTTAGCAACAGATTTGTGCATGCTCGCTGCGTTAGGTCCAGGAACCAAGTGGGAGTAACAGGTACAAGTCTTGACACCATCACGGGACCTACATTGTATTGGTAACCTAGCCCGAGTAGGGGCTTGTTATTTCCACACCTGTGGCCTAGCAAGAGACAGCTAGCCCACTGCCTATAGGGAGCTTCTCGTGGTACTGCATGTGGGTGCTGTGTCCAGCCTCCCAGAGCACTGGCTCCTTCCAACATCCACATAGACGCTCTAGAGAATATATATATTTATTTTAATACATTGTGTGTGCCTGAGTCTGTCTGTGTGCACTACATGTATACAGTGCCTGCAGTCATCAGAGGAAGACATCAGATCCCCTGCAAGTAGAGCTACAGGCATTTGTGAGCCTCACTATGGGTGCTGGGAACCAAACCCAGGTCCTCTGCAAGAGCAGAAATTGTTCTTAACCACTGAACCATCTGTCTAGCCTCTTGTACCTCCTTTTAGAAGGATTCTAATATGGGTTGGTTTAGAAAATCATTCCAGAGCCAGGTGCTGGTAGCACATACCTTTAATCCCAGCACTCAGGAGGCAGAGGCAGGTGAATCTCTGTGAGTTTGATCCCAGCCTGGTCTTCAGAGTGAGTTCCAGGACAGGCTCCAAAGCAACACAGAGAAACCCTGTCTCAAAAAACAAAACAAAAGATCAAACAAACAAGCAGAAGGAGAAGGGAAAGAAGAAGAAGAGGAGGAGGAGGAAGAAGAGGAAGAGGAGGAGGAGAAAGAAAAAGAAATCCATTTCAATTTCTAGAAGCCCAAAGAACTTCCTAGACAGTCAGCTCAAAACATTATGCAGATGCCTTTCAGTGGTTGGCTTCTTTGTTTTGCAAGCATAGCCCAGAGTTGAAGAGAGAAAACAGCCTAGACACACACATCCTCACTCATCTCCCAGGGCCATGGAATGAGAGGCAAAGTGACTGCTAGCTTTCATACCCACGATCTCATTACCTACTTGGTTCTCTCTAGGAAGGTCAAGTCTTCAATGTTCCAAACCCTCAGCAGCTGACCTCGGGCTGCATGCTCTGCATATGTTTAACCCTTTTCCTCCGACACTAATGGGTCTGTGAATAGGCAGGAGAGCAACCACAAAGAGGGCTGAGAGCCTGAGAGGGGAGGGGGTACACATTTCAGAACCTTGTGACCCACTTTCAACCCCCCCCCCACTCCAAGACAGAAGCTGGAGGTAGTGACATCATGAGTGATCAGGTCATGGCTTTCATAACCAGGTCCAAATATTGTCAATGAAGGGGAAGTTTCCTCAGTACCTCTGCATCTGTGTAGTCCACTCCAGTCTGGGCCAGCTGTGGGCTATAAACGGTTTGGCACACCAGAAGCCATGCATGGAGGAAACGTGAACACCACCACTTCTCTTAGGGAGGCCCCTAGTGGAGAAATGTGTCACCCAGAGTGCCATGCATGATTGACATCCCTCTCCCCAACTCCTGCTTATGGAGATTTGAAGCTGTCTACACCCAGGCCTGATGGGGTGCAGGATGACAACTCCTCAGGATATAATACTGTGCAGGGCGACTCTCCCATGCTTAACAAAGCAAAGCCATAACAATGTAACAAAGCAGACCAGCACATAGGAAAGAAAAGGAACCAAGAAGTCTGTACAAGTCAGTCGGCTCTGAACTGTGGACCACACATCTGGAGGGGAAATATTTCAGCCATGATTTCGTGTAAGCTTACAGCCTTTATCCTATGTTGATGTAAACAAGAAGGCTGTGGACATCTGCTCCAAGCCAGGTGGCTTATATGAGTGTCTCAAAATCCACCCCCATCTCTAAGAACTGGCCACCCCAGTTTTACCTCTTAGGTTCTGGAAGTTTATGGTAGTGCCATGTAGGCCTTTTGAATGCGGCGGCCTCTCCTTCAGGAGTTTCTGTTGTTGAGTCCCAAATAATAGCATGGTTTGAAGGGACAGACCTGAACTGTGTCTTCTGGGAGTCTGAACATATCACAAATGAGAGACTCAAGTCCTGTGTCTTTTGGTGGTACCTCCCTGCACCCCAGCCTTTCTCAGGGAAACAAAGCAATGTCCTGCCGTGACAGTCGACAGTCGTGGCTTTCTGGGGATGGAAGAAGTGAGGTTTTCAGTGACTTCCTTTCTTCTTGGGAGGAAGCCTGCTGGGGGTGTTTGTAGGGTTGATGGGGGGTGGGGAAGCAGCAGGTGGGAGAACCCTGCCCAGGGCAGCATCCTCTCAGGGTACTCAAAGTGGCGGTGGGCGTAAGGGGTGGGGGCAGCTGTTTCCCTCTCAAACAGATGTTTCTCATTATTTTTTCCCCAAGCCCCACAGAAACTTTGAATCATGTAAGTGCCTTCCCAGCAATATATACGGACATGATTCATACCAGGGCAGTCTCATGCCTCCAGCCCAAACCCACCAACCTACTAAGGATGCTGGTCTTTTATTTCCTACCAAGACCTTCCCTCGGGACCTCTGAATTAGGTGTTTCCAATCCTCAGGGTAATTCTTCCATGTCTGACGGAATCAGGAAAGAGTTCCTCAGCACAGTAGGGCTGAGTCATGGGTGTCTGTTCAGGCTAGGCTTGGGTTGGAGCTGTAGCTCAGGGATAGAGTGTGTGTCTAGCCTGTGTGTGGACCTGGGTTCAATCCCCGGGACTGAATAAAAGGTCTAGAGGTGAAGCTGTGCCATTCTTGAAGAAGAGAGAGGCAATCTGAGGCAGGATATTCGTAAGCCAACTTTGCAGGTTGCTGCAGGACTCCTGGCTGAATGACCAAAGCAGCTAGCTGTAAGAAACTCCTCTCAGAGAAGGGCCCTGAGGGATGGTTAAAGCTCTGCTGCGGCTATGCTGGAAGTTTTAATTTGTGAAACTAAAAAGCACTGGCCTGGACTCTCAGAACCCTGCAGATTACAGAGCCAGCATCGGGCCAGTGAATCCAAGCTACCCAATGAGATCTTTCTTCAGCTGCAGAGCTGTAGACCATCCCTCCTAAGCACCTAGTGAAGTGACAATTTCACAGTGGCTCCCAGGAGTTGGCCAGCATCATCTACAGGCTTGTGCTTGGCAGCGAGTATTTAGGGGTGTGGGTTGGGACATGGCGGGTAGAGTAAGCCATGACACCTAGCATGATTTCCTTCCATGTGTACATAGACAGGTATGTAGTGTGTGCCTTTGGGGAGGAGGGGTCACATAGGCCACATCTGCCTGTTGAGGTCAGAGGGCAACTTTTGAGGGTTGGTTCTGACCTTCCACTTTGCTGAGGTGAGGTCTCTCTTGGTAGTGTTGCTGCTATGCGGTGACATGCTGAAGTACAGCTGGCCCCTGACAGGCTAGCTGACTCTGTCTCTCTGCTCCCCACCTTGCAGAAGGAGTGCCGAGATTACAGATGTGCACCACTGCATCTGGCTTTTTATGTGGGTCCCTGGGATGGAGCTGAGACCGGCTCCCTTTCCCTGCATCGCCATCCCTGCTGGCCCTGCATTGGTTTTCTTAGATACAAGCTACCCTCTCTTTCGCAGGTACTGTTCCACCCCAACAGCGGGGCTGCTGGAGAGTATGGAGGCCTGCAGACCGTCCGCCTGGACCATCACAAGGCCTTCTACATTACTGGCAAGTAGAGCCCCTCCCCTAACTCCCCTGTGCACACCTTGGAGGTTCCCTGGGGGAGGGGATATGGTATGGTCCTCTTCTTTGAGAAGCATCCAGCTGACTATCTATGCCAGCTGAACCTGACCTTGGCAGGAGGGCCCAGCAAACGCATCCTGGACCCGCCAAAATGGAAATGAGGCCTTCCTGCAGCAGGCACAGGGCTCTGGCCCCTTCTTCCTCACTCCTGTTCGTACACCGAGCGCTTTGCGCCAAGTTAGAGCTCAGAGACCCTTAAAAGTGGCATTTGCTTGGCAATAAACTGTTTCTGAAGGTGGACTTTAAAAGTCTACTTAGCAGGCCGACAGGAGTCTCCCTACCCTGCGGTCCACTCAATGACTGTCTTGTGCATGTATTTTAGAAAGGTCACATGGGTCAGTGAGGTGGCTTAGTGGGTGTTCCCACTTGCTTTCTGCTGCAGTGATGAAAACCATGACCGAAGCAACTTGGGGAGAAAAGGGTTTGTTTGGTTTGCAAGTCCCAGGCCAAGTTGTCACTGAGGGAAGTCAGGGGAGGAACTCAAGGCAGAAACTGAGGCAGAGGCATGGAGAAATGTTGTTTATTGGCTTACTCTCCGTGCCTTGCTCAGTTTGCTTTCTTATACCTCTTGCCCAGGGTTGACACACAGACACACACACACACACACACACACACACACACACACACACACACACACACACCCATGAACATACAAGCGCATGCATGTACATAGGCGCACACAAATAAATTTAAAATTAAAAGGTTAAACATTTTTGTTGTTTTGACACAGGGTTTCTCTGGAGCCTGTCCTGGAACTTGCTCTAGAACTCACAGAGACCCTTTGCCTCCTGAGTGCTGGGATTAAAGGCGTGCATCACCAATGCAACCCAGCAGAAGTTTAAACTCTATTGCCTTCAAATGCTTGTCCCAGTATTTTGCACTTAGTTGAAGCCCTAACATTTTGAAGTTAATCAGCGAAAAACAAGACAAAATAAAAACAGACAAGAAATTCTGGCTAGGACTTGGAGATTTCAGTTTGATTTGGTTATTTCGTGTTGGAGATTTTCAAAGAATTATATAAGTTTTAAAAACTGCAAATTTTTTTTTCAAAATTTATTTTCTGAGTGTAAATGTGGTTGCAAAACCAAAACAAGCCCTTTGAGTTCACAGCTTCAGGGATCTTAGAAATGCTTCAAGAATCTTTGGTTCCTAAACCGCAGACAAACAGATCTTTGCTGTGGCCTCAGAGGGAAAGTTTGGGGATCAGCATCCTTGTATTACATTATCTAAGAGGCATGGGCCCTCCAGGCTGAGTTGATTTCATGCAGGTCAAACCCTGCCAGAAAGACCTTGGCACCACAATGCTGGAGTCGTAAACCCTACCATGAAGTAATAGGGCTGTATAAAGTGATCACAATCACACAGGGATTACAGCCCCAGACTGGAGGGAGAGCCGGGGCGGGGACTGGGGCACCGAGCTCTTGTACATGGGAGGAAAACTGCACACAGGTTGAGATGCTGTCATATTCCTGTTCCTCCCTGCATTTTTTTTTTCAATTTGCATCCTATTTACTTAAAACTGTGTTTGAGAAAGGCAGCTAAATGGGCAACTACTCCATTAGGAGAGAGAACAGCATATTCTTCTATGATGGGGAGATGATGTTTTGGCTGTGAACTTAGGGTAGCCTGGAACTAGGGAACTTCATTGGTTTCCCTCCCTTCCCCCCTTCAGAAATCATCTATTTTCTTTCCTTCTCTATTTCTTTTAGCATGCACTTGTGTGTGTGTGTGTGTGTGTGTTCAGGTACACATGTTTATTTTATATCAGGCATCTTCCCTGATTACTCTCCATTTTACACAGTGAGGCAGTGTTTCTCACTTGAACCTGGACTTCACTGACTCTGCTAGCTTGGCTGGCTTGCGCAGGAGTCTGTCTTTGCCTCCCAAGTGCTGGGATTACACATGGGCTTCCACATCCAGCCATCACTTTTTGCAGGCACAGGTGATCTGAACTGTGGTCCTCACACTTGCATGGCTAGCCTTGTACCTATTGACACATCTCCGTAGCTACCCTTTGCCACTCGTAAAGTAGTAATTAGAGACCAAGGTGCTTGCTGCCAGGTCTGATGGCCTGTGTTCAATCCAGAAAGCCCACATGATGGAAGGAGACGACCTCTAACCTCTACATGTGCTCCGTGGTGTGATTACACACACACACACACACACACACACACACACGTGCATGCACATACACACACAAATGAAAATGTAAAAGTGGGGCAGATTTCATACACACTGACGGTTGCACACCTAACTGTGTATACCTGTGTACACTCCCCTAATGCTGTGAGTTGATGTCATGGATACAAAGTGTGTCCCCCCCCAAAGCTAGTGTTGAGCTTGGTCCTTGTTGTAAGCAGTGTTCAGAGTCGAGACTTTGGGAAGATGCTTCGATCATAAAAATGCTAACCTTACCTGCCGGTTAACCCATTGATGAGTTCCCGGCACTACAGGCTCTCGGAAGGCAGGGCCAATTTGAAGGAAGGTCATTGTGGGTGCACCATTAAGGGGGGGTGCTCTGATGCTTTTCTCCCTGTTTCCTGTCCAGTGTGCCATAAGCAGCTTTCCTTGGATGCTTTCTTTGGTCTAGCTAAAAGTCTTAGAGCGAGGGAGCCAGATGACTGTGGACCAAGACCTCTGGAAACAAGAGCCCAAATAAGATAACATTAAGTTGTCTATCTTGGGTATTTTATCACAGCAACAAAAACTAGTGAATATCACTAATATTAGTTGGTTTCCAGTTCTTCTTCTTGGTTTTTCGAGACAGGGTTTCTCTTCTCAGGGTTGCTTTGGAGCCTGTCCTGGCACTCGCTCTGTAGACCAGGCTGGCCTCGAACTCACAGAGATCTGCCTGCCTCTGCCTTCCGAGTGCTGGGATTAAAGGCGTATGCCACCAACGCCCGGCTTGGTTTCCAGTTCTTAAGTCAACTCTATACTCCTAAATAAGCCCCACCAAGTCATGGTATCATATACATAAGTATATGTGTTTATATCAAATACATACACATGTATTATTGGATTTTCTTTGCTAGGGTTTTGCTTATAATTTCCTTTCTTGTAAAGCATGTATCAAGGTTTGGCGTAAGGGTTTTGCTGGTTATGTGAAGTAGCTTGGGTGGATTCTGTGTTTTCAAAGGGGTTTCTTAAGATTGCTATGCTCCTTTATTGCTTGATTAAATTTACCTGGGAAACTATTTGTAATGGTCAGTGTTCTAAAAGTAGTTCCCTATATTTTTTTGTAAGTGTTTTTATTGTTTGGAAGTCTTACAATTAGGTCTTGGAGCCATTTGAAGTTAACTTTTGTATGTAAATTTTAGTAAGAGTCCAACTTAGGGGGCTGGGGAGATGGCTCAGAGGTTAAGAGCACTGGCTGCTCTTCCAGAGGTCCTGAGTTCAATTCCCAGCAACCACATGGTGTCTCACAACCATCTATAGTGAGATCTGGTGCCCTCTTCTGGTATCTAGGTCTTCATGCCAGAACATTGTATACTAATAAATAAATCTTAAAAAAAAAAAAAAAAAAAAGAGTTCAACTTAATTCTGAGCCATCCCTCTAGCTCCCACTGTTGTGTTTGTTTAATATCTGCCATCATCACCACCACCACCATCATCATCTATTTAGTTTTTCGAGATAGGGTTTCTCTGTATAGCAGCCCTGGCTGTTTTGGAAATCACTCTGTAGACTAGGTTGGCCTCCAATTCACAGAGATCCGCCTGCCTCAGCCACCTGCCGTCTGGGATGAAAGGCGTGCATGCGCCACCACACATGATCACAGGAGCCTAAGGTGTCAGATCCCTGTGGCGCTCGAGTTACAGGCAGTTGTGAGCCACCCAATGTAGGTGCTGGGAACTGAACTGGAGTCTTCTACAAGAGCAGTATGGGCTCTTAAATCGCTCATCCACCTCTCTGGCACCCCTCCCCTCTACCGCCGTATTTTAAATTGTTAGTTTTCCTCTCCTGCACCTGGGATTTTTCTTTGGTATTTACTATGATACCTGCCTGAGCTCCTGGAGTCAAAATTCACAAAAAGCAGGCAGTGTCCAGGTTAAAGGTACAGCTTAGTGGTACAATGCTTTCACCGGGGCTTGATGTTCTACACCCAGTGATGGAGAGAATAACAGCATCCACAAGGCATGGAGTACCAATGACAAGGGCTCCCCCCCCCATTTGTCTATCAAAGAGTTCCTTGTTCTCCTTCGCTCACACTGTGATAAATCACAGCTCTCTCTGCCTGCCCACCTCTTCAACATCGGGTAGGATTTAGGATTTACCCCATTTGTGCACTGGCAGAGCTCGTGGAACCCGTTTTTTTTTTTTTTTTTTTTTTTTTGGCATGGAGTGGTGGCTTCCACACTGCTTTTGTGCCATGGTGCCAGCCAGAATCCTCCTGTGCAGTTATTTTAAAAACTATGTTAAAAATCGAGCCCTGTTGGTGAAACTCTGTAGGGACTGACTGTTGGGTGTAATCGTTTATTAGCATGGGAAGTCAATTACAGTGCATTCCCTTGCACTTGGGAAGGGTTTGTTTTACGTCCTTAGGATTTGCCTTTCAAATTTTGTCCTTCAGTTTAGAGAGGTCTCTAACACCCCCCCCCCCGCTCTGATTTCTATTCCGTCCCTGAACTTTGGGGGATGTCAGTTAGCAAATAAGAGGGGGACTTTTGTTTTTTTCTTATATCTTTTCCTTTTGGAAGAGGGTCTCACTTTGTAATTCAGGATAGTCTTGAACCATGTAGGTAGGCCAGGCTGGCCTTGGTCCTGCTGTCTGTGTCTGGAGTGTTGAGATTATAGGGCTTGCACCGCCATGCCTGGCTCATTTCTGCCATTAATGGTATTCTAGACTTTTTCTTCCATGTGGCCACAGAAGGCTGCTATTTTGGTCTTTCAGTTGCTTATGGGCTCTCTTTCGCTGTCTGGGCAGACACCATTTCAGGGGTCAGTCAAGGATTCACAGAAGTGCATATGAAGATTCCGAGGCTGCCTTCCTCTTAGTTTGCCACCTGTCAGTTTTCATCATTCATGGTCACCTTAAACTCTTGACACCTTAAACCGACACTGCTGCTTTCCTCTGGAATTCTGCCTGCTCCAAACTGCTTGTGTGGCATCCCCACAGGAGTGGGTGTGGGCAGGGAGGGTGATACCTCGACAGGATTTGGGACCAGGTCCAGTACTGTGTGGCTTTCTTCTTTGCAGTGTTGAGTGCCTTCCAGCCCCTGCCTGTCTTGATTTCGTTGCTTTTATTGATTTGCTAAAATCTGTCACCTAGAGCTCATTTTGCTAGCTAGAGGATGGCTAGTGTACTCCTGCCTTAAGAGAGATGTATTGTTACTGTGTGTGATGTGTATTTGCAGGCCTCTGTGTGTCATGGTATACATGTAGAGGCTAATTACCGTGTGGCCTCTGTACCATTCTTCGTGTGGGTTCTGGGGGGTGTGACTTTGTTTATTTTATTTTATTTTTTGTACTCATGTAGTAAGCATTTGTACTCATGTAGTAAGCATTATTTGTGTGTGTGCTGAGCCATCCATCATATGTCTGGTGTATTGTTTTTTTTTTTAAATTGTTTTTAAGATTAGGTCTCATATAGTTCAGGCTGGCCTCAATTTACTTTGTAGCCAAGGCTGGTCTTGAACTCCTGATCTTATTGTCTCCCTCTGAATACCATGCTCCATCTTGGATGATATTGCTAGAGCTTGTGTGTGTGTGTGTGTGTGTGTGTGTGTGTGTGTGTGTGTGTAGCTCCAAGTGGCCTAGAACTCACAGAGATCTGCTTGCTTCTGGCTCGCACATGCTGCTATTAATGGTCCATGTCACCATACTCCATGGTTATTTAACATTTATAGGTCACTCCCAGCTTTTTCTTGATTGACTGTCAAAACTTGTGTGACTTCAAGTGCTCTTTGCTGGTGATGGGAGACACATTTTGGTCAGCTCTAGACAAAGAGAGTGAGTGATTCCTGGTCTCTGCTAGAGCCAACTGTTTGTCATGTCAGGGGCCCTCAATGGAGGCTTTGATCTGCTGAAGGCCACGGGGTCTACTCATTCTTTGAGAGTTCCCTCTTTATTTCCATCCATATTTCATGAGAAAGCTGGGTCTGTGGAGTGCTGGCTTTGGTGGTCCTTCTACATTTTTTTCTCCTGAGTTGAGCTGTGGCATTGTGCTGTCGTCTTGAGGCGAGAACACACCACAGATGGACTCTGCTAGTCACGGTTGTATTTCTCTGTTGTAAGAATGTTCTCAGACTGGGCAAGTTTGTAGACACCTATCATCCTGGCACTTGAGTGGCTGGCACGTGGCACGTGAGGTGATGTAACAACACCATCTTCAGTTTGGGGAAATTAACCATCTTGACATCCACCAAACTCAACAACCACCACTGGAGAAATCAATGTTCAAAAAGGTCAGATTTAGGGACCAACAAGATGGCTTGGTGGATAAAAAGCTCTTGCCACACAAACCTGAAAACTTGAGTTTGATTGAACTCACAGTGGAAGGAGAGAACTGACTCCCCAAAGTTGTCCTCTGACCCCCATGTGTGCGCCACTGGTTCAGATGGAAGGCAAGTCCAAGGGGGCAGACCTAATTCCTCCGGATAGATGATATTGCCAAAAAGACAGACTCCAATCGCAAGGTGATTTGTTTGGAAGGGAAAACAAGCATTTGAATACCCAGAGATGCTATCTTTTGCAGCTTAGGGTGAAGGTTGGGTTTAACAGTTTTGGCCTTTCTTCCTGTAGGGGGAGCCAAAGCTTGTGATGGGAGCACGGGACCTGAGCAACACTACACTTCCCCTCTCATTTTCAACCTAGAAGATGATGCCGCAGAAGCTGTGCCCCTACAGAGAGGAAGCCCTGAGTACCAGGCCGTGCTGCTGAAGGTCACCAGGGCTCTTGCAGATGTCCTTCGAGACATTGCTGATGGCAACAGCTCCCGAGCGGACTACACTCAGGACCCTTCAGTAACTCCCTGCTGTAGCCACTCCCAAATTGCCTGCCGTTGCCAAACTGTGTGACTATCGTTTTTCCCATGAGAAAGACTATCTAGAAATTGTAGATAGGTAGGCTTGCTTCCACATTTTATGTTGGGCGTGGATGTCTACTTTGGGAAGGAAGTTGCACAATTTGGTTTGGAGGGCATAGCCTTCCCTCTCCCTGTGTAGACTGCCCCTCTGCATGTGTGTTTGAGAAGCATTCAAGGGCATGGCATGATGAAGCACTAGTGGGCTATGGAGTCATGGCACAGGTTCGAGTCCCAGGTTTTAAGCTTGGGCAATGACTTAAATCTCAATTGCAGAGTTGATTTTGAAGGTTAATGTTAACACATGAAGTTGCTTGTGTATGTCCCCGGGACCAAGCAGGTCTTTAATGTTTTAGTTTCTATCTTGTGTCCCCAGTTTCAATGTAATTGTAGCACAAACTCATTCTGGATGGTATGTAGAGCTCAGCCATCTTCAATACCCATAGAAATCGCCGGGGATATTGCAAAATGCAGAATGGCCCAGAAGATCTGGAGGAGGGTCTGGGAGACTACATCGTTGCTGGATTTCTTTGAGATGCCTTGAGTAGCACAGAGCTAAACAGGCCTCGGAGCAAAAGAACTCATGGGTCTTCTCTCTTGTGAATGTCAAATGGGTATACTGTAAAGATCTAGGAGTTTGGGGCTGAAGAGATGGCCCATCAGTTAAGAGCACTGGATCTGGGTTCTGTTCCTAACACCTACATGATGGCTTAAACTGTGACACCAGTTCTAGGGGACCCATCACTCTCTTCTGGCTCCTGAGGATGCCAGGTATGCACGAGGTGCATATAAATACATATACTCATATATTAAAAATAATCTTTTAAAATAGATTCAAGATTTTCTCCAAGCCCCTGCAACTTCCAAGGAATAAAACAAAAAAATGTAAACAACTCACAAATGCATTGCCATGATTTTATTTAATTAGTGTCCTGAATGGGACTCAAGGGTAATTAATAATAAATGATTTATTCCAATCACTGCAAAAATACTTTGCCTGGCTAAAATAGTTTCTCTCTATATATGTCTGTAATATACAAGAAACACAATTCAAAGAGATTTCCCACTAAGTACATTTTTTTTTTAAACACAGCATACATTTGACAAGGACGCCCCTTTTAATATAAAATTCCGGTTATATACCAATATGGTTAGTTAGCATTTACACTGTGGTTTGAAGGTATTTTAAATAGCATGACGTGACTCCAACGTTCTCCTCACCCACTGGCAGCCAAGGCTGAGGGGGCCGGGTAGGGGGAGCCTAACCATGTTCTACGGCTCAGGCAGCGAGGCACCTGGATTCCTGCCTCCCTTCCCTCTCTGCTCACACAACTGATTGTACTCCGTGTCTTCCACTGTCCTTGTTCTCTCCAAAACCACCCGACAGGGGGTGTCCTGACTTCTGGGGTGCGCTTCTTGTCAGGATTGCTTCGGTTTGCCCTTCTGACTTCCGCGGCACAAGATTATCTACCAAAATCAAAACAGAAGGGTCTTACTCCTCTCAGGGAGAGGCTGGGGGAGGCAGGCTGGGTTACCCACGGGTCTTTGCTATGCAGATCAGCGGGAGAGGCCGAGCCTTTGGAAACTTTCATATATGACCACAGACTGACCCTCACGCATGGCCATGGAAAAATCCACCCATCTTATGTAGGCGTGGACAAGGGTGGCACAGACCCCAACAATACTGTTTAAAAACTGCATGTGTCCACATGTGTGGTTGTATGAACATGTGCTTCTTCCTTCTAAAGGTTCATCCTACTTGTAAACATGGACTGCTAAATGGATGTAAAAAGAACACGAAACGTCAGCATAGGCTCCTGGTCCGAGTCGCTGTTCTTTCTTTCACTCACAAGGTTAATGTTAGTGTCACAGAGGACACAGACTGCGTGCAGGCTCACTAATGAGACAAAAGCTGCTGGCCTTCCTCAAAGCCTTTCCCAGGGTACAAGAGAGATGGTGGGCTTGCTTTCCTCCTGCTGGTCTCGAAGCGAAGTCAATCTCAAAGAGGAAAATAGTGCTGGGAGGGAGGGCAGTGGCAGTCTACTGTGTAAAGGAAGCTAGTGATGGATGACTCACGGGCTCACTGCGGAGGCCCAGACTCCACCAATGAGCCCAATATTCCTACCAAAAAGGGAAGGGATTTCACTAAGCTGAGACTCCACGGATCCTTTTGTAGTCTCAGAAGCTTAAAAAGGACGGTGAGTAAAGATATGGATTCTGGCAAAATACTTGCAAGAGGCATGCAGTTCAGAGTACTGGCGGGGAGAGGGGCTTTCCTAGGAAGCCCAGTCCAACCCTCAGACTACAGGGGGATGACTGAAATGGCTGCTCTGAGCAGCAACCCAGCAGCCCTCTTGCCTTTGCTCCTTTAGAGAGGGACGGGACAGCTGGTTTGTGCCTAATGTCCTAGCAGTGTTTAGGTAGGTGAGCACGCCTGCGACACATTTGAACGTTAGTAGTTTTTGGTGTGTGTGTGGGGGGGGGGGGCTGAGCATGGAATACAGAGCTTCTTACATGCTAGGTGTATTTACCATCATTAATCCACACCCTTCAACACTAGTTCCTAAATTAAGCATCTGATTCTCCTCCCCTCCAGGAGAATGGCTTACTAGGGGTTGTTATTTTATACAGGGTATCTCCAGCAAGGGACCACCTCCTACATGCCATTGTTCAAATTACTCTAATTCTGTAAGCAGGAGAGGTTGCAAGTTCTGCTCTGATTGCAGTGAAGACTAATTTGAGATGTATCAGTCTTCTACAGCAGCCCCAGATTTTTACCAAAATTGCCAAAACAGAAGCAAGGGAGCATCAGACCTTGGCAGACTAGGGTGTTCTGGTCATGTTTGTCCCCACTGTCTGACCTAGAGTGCTCTGGCTCTCGGGAGATGTTATGTCAGTTAAATAGTTAAATAACCACTAACTTTCAGAAGACATAGCATCTCCTTATAGTTCTAGGTGGCATTATGGGAACCCAAAGGCACCGCTGGTTTAGGCAGCAACTGTTAGGCAGTAGGTCAGTGGCTGCCTTAAAATGCATTAGTTTTTTTTTTTTTTTTTTTAAGAACTACTCCTTCCCTCCATTACTATATAAATGTCACTTGGTGGCAATATATTTGGCAATTTGCCTAGGAAAGTCCAAAAATGTAAATTTCACAGTGCAATCTACAAAGCCAATATGGAAGCCACAAATACCTCCTATTCACAAGGGGGCCTTGCCCTCTTCAGGGCCCACAGGAACACCCCCTTCTATTCCCTAAGTCCTGACATGGCATTGTATCCATCTGAAAGGATCTAAAATTGTCTACTGGGATTTTTGTGTTTTGGCCTCGGGTATCCCAGGCTGGCCTTGAGCTCACTATTTAGCTAGGATGAGCCTGAATGTCTTATACTCCCCTCCTGTCTCCATTTCCCAACCACTAGAATTGCAGGTTTTATGTGCTTCTGGGAACTGAACCGAGGGTTTCATGCATAGGCAAGCATTATACAAACTGAGCCACATCCCTAGCCTCTAGGGTGTTTCCACGGGGGGGGGGGAGGTGGGGAGGTGGGGAGGCACACTGCTTAAAGATGTAGCAGCTAAGGAGCCCCTGACAGTCCCCAGGGTGAGGGGAGAGAATCTTTCTTCCAGCTGTTGGTAGAGGCCAAGTCCAGTGCTCAGCCACCCATGGCGTCTCTTACTGCCAGCAAGCTGAGGCAGGTTCCTGGGAAGCCTTGCTGAAGGTATCTAGGTGAGTTCATACCACCCACACTGGCTTTAAACATGTGGTTCCCTGGCGAGTGCCCGCAGCTCCTGGGGATGTTCAAGAGTGTGATGCCAGAGCTGCAGTCTAGCCGCAGGTCAGCTCCAGCAGCCGGCTCAGAGTCCCACACGTGACCTAGCCCCTTTAACTCACCGGAACAAGTAACAGGCAGCATTCTACAAGGGCTTTCCTAGATGCTTTGGAAAAGCAGGCAGAAGCCCCTACCTCACAAGCAGCAAAGGCAGTGGAGACAGAGAGGCAGAGGCAAGGGGTCTGGGTCTCTGGTGAGCCAGGTTAGTATTTGGTTACGGTAATGCTGTCAGGCTTCAAGTATCACACCAACTGGCTAGCCTGTGGGATCTGAAACTGCAAAGTGGGTGCCCCAGGACTCTGAGCATTTGAAAGAGGATTAGTGGTTAGGAACGAGAGAGCACGGGCCAGTGACTTTGCCTCTTGTGGGAGGCAGAGCTTTCTTCCAGGCACACAGATGGAGTAGCTCTGTTAAGGGTTCCGAATGCTCACAGGGGGAAACTCATTCTCATCGTCAAGACACACTGGTCCCGTTGCAAACTCGTGTTCTGGAATAACTTCTCCGCGGAGCGCCCCACCATCCTCAGAGTAACCTGGAAGCAGGAGTTAGAAATGAAACGGGTGGAGCCCCATAGTGGATGCTGGAGGGTCAAAACCTGAGAAAAAGGGGGAATGGAGGCAATGCTGGATGTATCTCTGCCTCCCAAATAGAGGGGTGGCTCGGGTGAGTCTAAACCCTCTCCCATCTAGTCCCTGAGCCCTGAGAGGCAGGCCAGGTCTCACCCACCTCCCGTCTGAAACTCCAGCTCTCTGTAATTCTTCAAGAAGCAAAGGGCTATTGCTTATTAACTGGTGCCTTTATTCCCAGCACAGGGAGGTAGAGACAGGTGGATCTTTGTCTACACAGTGAGATCCTATCTTTAAGAAATAAAGAAAACAGAAAAGAAAGAAGGGAGGGAGGGAGGGAGGAAAAAACCTTGGGCTACACCCTCCAGTGCTAGGACCTGAGGTTGAAGACTATTAGCAGGCCTCACAGCAAGGAAGTAACCAGGGAGACTGCTCAGCCTGAGATAAGAGCTTGGGGAGAAAGCAGCTCTGTGGGAGGCCCAGGCCCAGCCACTCACCCGGCATAGTGGAGGCTGCAGAAGTGCTGGGCCGTGCTACAGTCGCTGCGTAAGACGGAGGTAAGGAAGGGCTGAGGTCGTTCTCTTTGTTCTCATCTGTTGTTCCTGAGCTGAGCAAACTATTTGCAGCAATTAAAGAGGAAGAATAGAAGTCAGCACATCTCCAGAACACGTGGACCAGGGCGAGGTGGCTCGCGCTTTGCTATTTGAGGGTAAATTACAGACCTGCCAGGACACTGTAAGATCAGCATGTACCCAAGTAGGTCAGCCATGCGCACCTTCAACATGATCCATCACTTATACCCAAAGCCCCGCCCTCTGCTGTCTGGTGTATTCAGGCCAGACACGCCCACAAGGTCTTGGGTGAGGTGCCCTGGCAGCTCATGGTATCCAGTCCACCACTTCCACCACTGGTCAGCCTGTACATGTCACAGAATCTTAAGGACTTTGAGATCTGACCCTGTGAACATTTTTAACTATCCACTGTGTTCTTAAGGGCTGTGCCAGGGGGCCATCACATTTGTGGCATTGTGTTAAGCGCCTGGGCACCGTCTCAAAGGGGCCAGACAGCAAGGGGGGGGCACCTGACAGACAAGGGGCTGAGGCAGAGCTTGCTAGGGGACTTGACACAGACGGTCAGGAGGGAGCAAGAGCAGCAAGAACCCTGGAGTGGGTCACTGTCCCCACACAGAGACAGCTCTGCACACCTGTTCCTGGACAGCTGTTTGGCAATTAGAATCTTCACCTGTGGGTTTTGATTAAGACGCATTCCCCTCCATCCTGAGGGTCCAAATTGTAGATGTAAAGGTGTCCATCGGAGGAGGCCACTAGCAGCCTAGGCAGTTTCTGGATCCTAGGAGACAAGTGATGGATTGCTACAGATGTGGTATCAGCTGGCAAGGCTTCACTCCCCCATTTCTGTCTCTGGCATCCTTAGCTCGGTGGCCCAGACTTGGGTCTTCTGGACAGGACTTTACATTCCTACCTGATCATCTACTTTTAGGGTTATTTCTGGGTTTTGTTGTGGGATGGGACAAAAGTATTGTATGTAGACAATAGCACCCGTGGAAGGCTACTGGCTGCTTATTGGTGTCCCTAGATGGAATGTGGTCTCTATATTGTATGTGTCTCTGACTTCAGCAGTGATGGGAAAGGGAACACCGTTTAGGTTTATAAGCCTGTGTGGTTTACATGTATGCCGGTGAGCATGCATGCAGAGGGTGACCTGAGTTGTAGTTTCTCAGGTTCTGTCCCCTTCTCTTGAGACAGAGTTTCTTACTGGTCTGGAGCTCCCTGTTTAGGCCAGAGAACCCCAGGGACCCACCTGCCTCCACTGTCCTGCACTGGGGTGACAAGCACGGGCTTCACACCCAACCTTTTCATGTGGGCTCTGGGGCTCAAACGACTGTCCCTTTGCTTCCGTGGCAAGCATTTTACTGACTGAGTTATCTTCCTAGCCCCTACATTATGCTTTTTATTGTCTTTTGAGGCAGGATTCTGATATGCATTCTGGGCTGGCACTGTATTCGCAAAGCCCCTGGCTAGGCCTCCTGAGTCCTGGGATTACAGATGTGCATCTCCAAGCCCAGCTCATGGATTTTGTTTGTTTGTTTTTGATTTTTTTTTTAAAGAAATGCCTCTAAGCTTATTAAATTAAGACACCTGTCAGCCTCATAGGCTATCAGGCTAGAACTCCATTACTGTATCTTTCATAAACAGCCACCTCCTGAGGATCCACATTAAAACCAGCAGACAGATTCTGCTCGCCTTCCCTTGGCGTTCTTTTGTTTTTGTCTATTTCTGTTTATGTGCATATGTGTGTGCCTACTTGTCTGTATGTGCACCACATACATGCAGTGCATGCAGAGGCCAGGGGAGGCCGTCAGACAACCCCCTCCCCCAACTGGAGTTTTAGGCAGCTGTGAGCATCAGATATGTGTGCTGGGAGCTGAATTCTGCAAGAGCAGTAAGGGCTCGTAACCACGGAGCCGTCTTCCCAGCCTGTCTTTTCTCTTTTCATACATTTAGGCACATGGCATTCTGGGAAAGACACATCTGTGAGTTTGGTGTCACTGTACGTACGTGGACAGCGTACAGATGTTCTTCTGCCCAGAGAAGTTCAGGCGTCCTGTGGCGAAAGCCCTGTCCTGGTTCATCATGTCCGACACCTGGGCGGGGAGGTAGTTGGTAGCTGCCATGAACATCTTTCCCATGTAGCCACTCCAGGTGGAAGGCTCTTCTGGGCGGCTAGGGGAGGCAATGCAGAGGCAAGGGTGGGCCTGGGCTGTGGCACAGGCACCTTGCCAGCGATTGCTGCAGCCCAGCCTTGACCTCACAGGCAGACGCTGTGCCTAAGCACAATGTTCTGGCCACTGAGACATACTATCCCAGCAGTAACTAAAGAGCATCGGGCCAGCATGTCCTTTAGAAGAACCACTGTAATACTGTTAAGAGGCTCCCCGTACTACTGCTTTCTTACAAGAGAATTTCTGACGAGTGGTCGGATTATTGGATTTCAAACAGAGGGCAAGGGTAGAGATTCAGATGGAAAAGACAGGAGGACCTTGTAACCGAATGGGTTCTGAGAAGAACAGACAGATATCTGTGAAGGCTTCCCGGGCCAGACTGAGTAGGAAGCAAGCATCCAGGGCAAGACATTTGGGGTGGTGTCTCAATATGGCTCTGGAGCCATGTGCTACCCAGCATCCACAATGCTGGTGCACCATGGGAATCTGGGAGGTACCCTGCGCTCACTTGAACTTCATCTCAAGGCCTCCAGGGAGGTCCATGAATGAGCAACATTGCTGACTTTGTGTTCCATAACCACTGGGGACTGGTGCCACCAGGTGTGTTTTGGGAGCACCTGCTCTGCGGCCACTTGCCTGCGGGACCTGATCCTGATGGGGACACACAGTCCATTTTACACTGTGACCAAATGGGCATGTGGTCTTCAGACTAACTGTCTGGGTCCTGATATCCTTGATGGAAAGGGGCACTTTTAGACACCCCTGCACTGATGGCCCTAGAGCCTTGTGCTCAGTTATGGTATATCAAGAGCACAAAGACTTTACATTTCAGGTCTGGACACAGTGCAGATGTCCAGAAAGCAAAGCAACCTGAGTGGCTATGTACACATGGTCCAGATGGGAGCCACAGAGGACCACAGAAAAGAGGGAGGAGGATGAGGGTCCTCTGCATCTTGTTTTCTGGTTCCTCATTTGGAATGTAGGAACAACGACCGAGCCCTCCTACGGGCTTCCTGGGGGGACTAAAGCAGGCAGCCAAGCATGTGAGACATGCGTGGTTTCTTTAATGATAGTGTCTCTGAGGTTGATGGGTTGAGGGGGTTGTGGGGTGGTGGCTGCTGGTCTCTGCAGGTAAGGGGGAGCTGAGATTTTATTTTCAAGGGGAAAAGAGAATAAAGGATTTGTAGGGATATATTGTTTATGACCTGATAAAGCCACTGATCTAATAAAGCCACTGAAGGTCAGATGAGCAAAGCAGCAAGCCATTAGAGAGTTTTCACTCTACCAATGCTCAGCCCAAAGGGTCGACCCACTGAACCTTAGATTACATCTCCAGACTGAACTGCTTTCCACCTAGACTGCTCTCTGAGACTGCACTGAGCTCCTTATATACTCTCTAGTGCTGGGATTAAAAGTGTGAGCCCTGTTTCTCTTTTAGACTGATTCACTCTCATGTAGCTGTGGGTGGCCTTGGACTCCCAGAGATCCATCTGCCTCTGTCTCCTGAGTCCCGGGCTTACAGTTGTGTGCCACTACAGCCTGGCTTCCGATCTCCAGTGGCTTTATTAGATCATAAACAGTATATCATGACAAAGGAGTCTGAGAAGGAGGAACAATGTTTAAAGGAGCATTTCCAGAAGATTGGTCCAGCAAGAAGATGCAGATGGGCAGCTGCTGTATGGAGGTTCCCTCTGTACTGAAACATTCTCCCCAGGAGGGATGGGAGAGCATGAGACTCTGGGGTGTGGTGTGAATAAACCCTCACCTTAGGGAAGGCAGAAACTTGCAAGATTTTTGAAGGCCTTACAAAGCACTAACCAATTGTTAGGGAAGAGGCTTTGACAGGCCCCGTTGCCCCAAGGAGATCTCTCTGGGGATGCCACTGTGTGAATCATCACTAGTTTGGTGGCTTTTTCACAGTGTAGCCGCATTTGATCATCTCTGCTCCTGTAATTCCTCACCCATACTCCTGTTAGCATCCCCAACACGAACTCACTGGCTCATGAAGTTGGATTGCAGTTGTTACTTTGGTTGCCATGGTTTCTCTTTCCAGAGGTAAGTGTACGTGTGTGTACGTGTGTGTGTGTGGGGGGGTTGTATACGTCTGCATGTTTACTATCTCACACCACATCTGGTTAAAGAGAGAGTTGGGAAGAGTGAGGCTACATAGAATTGTAATGAAAGATATGGACAAGGGCAGCAGCCAGTGAGGCAGGGCAGAGATAAAAATGGAAGCCATGCTGCTCCAGGCATAGCCACACCTCACAGACAAGTTGAGAACTCAAGATTCTGCCCCTGGCCACTGCTGGCCACTCACATACAGTGGAGCTGGGAAATGGCAAATGGCCGGTGAGTTTCCTAGCTTAAGCATTGATGACTGATGGGGGCGGGGCTCGGGAGGGAGGACCGGCTCTGCAGCACTGATGATTGACAGGGGGTGGAACTTGGGAGGCTAGGCTCCAGCCCCTCAGGGGGTGAAAGGCTTGTGAGAGCCATGCTGTCACCACAGGCAGAAACTTCAGAAGCCACTGAAGACTTGGAGACTGTTAAGCAGAGTCTAGAAAGCAGATATGAGGAAAGTGTGCAGAATAAGAATCTTAGTTATAACTGTGAAAACATGGCCCCTCTGGACTCATGTTTTGAAGGTGGCAGCACCGTTAGGAGGTGAGGACAGGGGTGGGTCCCTGAAGGTCACATCTGTAGGTCACAGGGGGTGGGTCCCTGAAGGTCACATCTGTCCCACGTCTGCAAAGCTGAGAGAGCCACAGCCACATGCTCCTTCCGTGTCCTAAACCCTCCCCCACCACGGTGGATTGGAATCCTTCGAAATGGTGAGACAAAACAAGCCTTCCCTCTCGCCGTACTTTCTGGAAGGTATGATGGCCTCAGAGATGAGACGGGAACTAATACAAAGAATGTCAGGTTTTCCCTCAGAGGGAACATGCTTACCAACATTCCTGGCTGGTGGCACCTTGGACACTAAGTATGCTATCATTCCACTCGCTAACACAGCCACACCAGCTTAAGCATGCTGGTGTCAGGCATTCCACGAAATACTTTCATTTCGATCAACCACAGACCTCCTGAATCCCCACATCAAGCTTAAGGTGCATACACAATGACTATGCTTGTCTTACAGGTTAGGAAAGTGAGATTCGGAGAGACCAAACAAGCTTCCCAGAGTCTCACAGCTCAAAAGGGGCCGAGTTGAGATGTAAACTCAGGATCATAGACCCAGATTTTTTGCTTTTGTGCAGGACACCCAGAAACGTTTTGCGAGCACACACTCGACCACAATGACAACAGTAAGGCCAAGTTCAAAAAATGAAGCTCCAGGCTGGACGTTGGTGACACATGTCCCTAATCCCAGCACTCGGGAGGCAGAGATCTCTGAGTTGGAGGCCAGCCTGGTCTACAGAGCGAGTGCCAGGGTAGGCTCCGAAGCTACACAGAGAAAACCTGTCTCGAAAAACAAAACCAACCAACCAAACAAACAAACAAACAAAAGGTGAAGCTCCAATGCCTGCAGGCTAACCAGGTTGTGTCCTGTGCCTTCGGTTCGGTAGGCATTCTGGGTAGCACTTGCCTGTCAGTCAAGTGGTCCAGTTTGAAGATGTGCACGGTCTCCGTGTTGCTGGAGGCACACAGGAACTGTGAGTCCATGCTGAACACTAGAGAGCTGATTGTCACATACCTAGAGACAGCAACACACAGGCCAATAAGCCAGAAGAACAGCGAGGGTCGTCTCCCCACAGTTCTAAGAACAGCTATACAAGGAAATGGAGGAAAGGAAAATGTGACTTGAAGAGGCTTAAAATGCCTCCAACATTAAGCTATTCATATTTAAAAAGCAACGTGGGAGAGATTCAGGGAGAGCCATGCATGGTCTTGGGCCTGGCTCTTTCTCCCAGCCAGTGGTTGGGAGACCTGCTTTCTTAGCATGTGATATTTCCCAGCTGCTCTCAACAGATCCAGCTACAGAAGCCACAGCCAAAAAGGTCCAAGTCACTGACATCTGATGTGGCCCTTTATTTTCCACTTGTCTCCGGGTTGTGATTTGCTGGCTCTCTGCTTTGCCCCATGCTGGCCTCCACGGGCATAGAAAAGACCCTGACTAGGGAACTCTGCATTAAGTCTGCTTTGACTTGTGGTTTTAGAGCACTCCCAGTGTAGCCCTGAATCAGTTACCTGGAAAACACCTTAACCTCTAGGAGAGGAGGCCCCGGAGCCTGCCTCCATCCTCTCCCTAGATGGCTGCCAGGAAGGATCTAAAACCCGGGGCTGACACTGAGCACAGACCTTTTCATTCCTCGACGAAACTCATAGAGTTTTTGCCCGTCAGGTACCGAGAACACGCGGATGACTGTGCCCTGGAAGAGAAAGCGAGGGGGCTTTTCCCAACCACAAATGCTTCACACAGACATGTCCCTTCCTGGGGCACCTTGCTTCACCAGTTTAGAACAACTGTCCCTGAGGAGGGAACACAAAGCAATGGGCACAGGGGCATTTTTATCTGGATGTGTGCCAAATAAGAACTCTTGGGACATGTGTCAAATACTGTCTTCCCCTTCCCATCCTGACCCATGTGCACGTGCGCGTATGTGTAGTCACAAACTCTTCCGATTTTCTGGATTACTCTGTCTCTGCTTATCAAAACACACCTGCTTTGCATGGCATTTGAAACATAACTCGGTCACTTTCACTATTGATCCTGGCCAACAGAGTCTAATCTCTCTTCCCATCTACGGACAACAGGTGCGTGTAACATCTCTCCTTATCTGGGGACAACAGGGACATGCATTTCTCAATAAGACCACACGTTTTTGTGCAACGTGGCTTGCATCTTGTGTAATGTCACTGACTGGTGTGACAAATTCATTGACAGGCCACAGCAGGTGGGCCCAGATGGTCTCACTCCGAAACCAATTCTAAGCAAGCCGGTCAGTCTACATCACCGTGACTGTCCCAGCAGCAATCTGGGCATCCTGCAAACCCTCAGACGGGAGGAGAAGCGGGAGAACACTTACTTTCTCAGATGCACTTGCTAGTTTGGAGCCCGAGGAGTCGAAGGTGATGGCGGCCAGAGTCCCCTCGTGGGCAGCGATGGTGCACACTGTTTTCTGTTGGTGTAGGGGAGAAATGGAGAAGAGGGTGAAGAGGGAAGAGGGATCCCCGTCCCCTGCCCTCTGCCTTGTCTCCCTGCCCCACTGGGCCGCTTGCATATAAGCCAAAAGCTGTCTTCTGTGGAGCTCTGCTATTGCATTCTCTCCTCTGACCCCTCTCAGTTTTGGTGACCAATGAGTTTGAAATGGGCTGCTTACAGGGGCATGGACAGCTTAGCAGTAGCTACACCACTAAAGAAAATGCCTACCCCCACCCCAGCAAATTGACAGCCTATGTAAAGCTGGCTCTCATGAACCTTCCCTTCCATGACAGAGTGTGGGACAGGCTCAGTCTAGTGCAGGTGTCAGGGTGGCTGCTGAGAGCTTGAGGATGCGACAGCCACGTCGTGCCCAGGAGGCAGCATTCTACAGCAAGCCACCTTTCTTCCAGGCCTTATATCCTTCCTGTCTCATCTTCTGTGACATTCCCTGAGCTGTGTGTGTGGAGTGGGGTGTCTCATGTCTGTTCCTTCCCCTGCCTTTGGGAAGGTGGATGGCCAGCTGTGTGCCTGATAGAGAGCCAGGCTGTTAGGGGCTCTTTGTGCTTGCTCCTTCTGGGGTTTCCCGGAGTGCCCCTGCCCTGCTCTGTGATGCTCTACGAAGCTGCAGGGAGTAGAGGGCAGGGAATCCTGGCTGTGAGCGGTCTCGCCAATTTCATTTCGGGCAGGTGCTCTGCCTTATCCTGGCGCCTGCCTTGCAGCGGTGTTGGCTGATAAAGACTTTAAGCTTCAGCACAAGTATCATTTGTTTTCCTTTGCCCAACTTCTGTGGCCAGCCAACTCCCCCACACAGCTCACCCCACTGCAACAGAGACTCCTTATCTTAGTCTGTTCACCAGCTGGTCAGGGCAGGCAGGCCGGTGCACCAGGGACCTCGGTGAACTTACCAGGGAGTTTCCATCATAGAGAACAATCTCGCCTGTAGTCTGGCTTCCAGGATAGGCCAGGTAGGAGTTGGAATGGTTGATAGAGAGGGCACACAGACCTGGCAAAGAACAAACAGGATGAAGAGAAAAGAGCTAGGCTAGAAAGGGCACCTGAAAACCATGTGTCTGGAGTGCCACCTGCTGGCGAGGGGAGGGACATCTTTGAGTATGTCTAGATTAATCGCAGGTTTCTTAAATTGCACATTGTCACCCACACACACAGGGAGTCATGTAACTGAATAGGCGGTTACAAAAAGTTGGCAACAGTATAACCTTTCTGAATGCACAACAGGCGAAGATTAATTTGAAGTGAAGCACGTAAAGGACCCGAGGTGACTCTGCACCAGATAGGGTTGCATCTTACTGTCACAGTAGCCTTGGTTCTGAAATACAGCATGCACACACTTTCCCAAGCATGCTATATCACACCACACAGCACCAGCACACACAGGCGCTGTGCACTCTGGCTCAGTACCATATGCCATGAACGGCAAGGTTTTCACTGTACACAAACTTTCCTGCTTTTACAGAAAAATAACAGTTAACAGGAAATGGAAGCGTTTAATATTTTCCCACAGTCCTCATAACGTCAGTATCAGATTGGTATACCCTGATGTTGTCTTGTGCTAGAACTGTTGATTTTAGAAATTGCTGTCTGGGCTGCTGATTTGATTTTTTTTTTTTTAAGTGGTTAATGTGGGATTTGGACAAAACTTACAAAATGGTCCTAAGCATACTTCTGCTGTTTTGTATTACATACTTATATGAAGTAGTGTGTTTGGCACTAACAATTATAACATAAAATTACTGATGAATTCTGGAAAACATTTAAGATGACCTGTCCTGCAGTATCACCTGCTCAACCAAGATTTAACTACTCATGTGAAAAGAAACGAGCTGTCCATGTCAAACTTATATTATCTGCAAATGTTTGGTATGAATATATATATATATTTAGGGTCACATAAAAATTTCTTGGGCCACTCTGGCTGTGGTGCACACTGCTTAATCCCAGCACTCGGGAGGCAGCGGCAGGTAGATCTTTGTGAGTTCGAGGCCAGCCTGGATTCCAGGATAGCCAGGGCTGTTACACAGAGAAAACCTATCTCAAAAAACCAAAAAAGAATAACAACAACAACAAAAACCCTAAACCAAAACAAACAAGCAAACAAAAACTTCTTGGGCCCAAGATGGGTTGCTCCTGGGAAAAGTTTTAGAAATCCTGTTCTGGTCAAAAGATTTGACTCAAGGAAATTTGCAGACTTCCCAACTTAACCCTGACAGTGACCCCGCTACTACTCAGCAATCAGACCTCAGAATATGGAGAACATTCCTTCCCCACATTGAAACCTCGTCGCTACCTCTCTCCTGGTCTCATTACCCTCTAGAACTCTGAGAATGCACTCACAATTGGAACAGGGTGTCCCAGTGGCAGAGGTCAGAGTGCTTTAGCCTCTTCTGAGAGTGATTAAATACAGTTAGCTGGGAACTTCAAGATGGACGCCAGGAGAGGCCAATGACCTCGTTTCTCAGCAAGGCATCTGCTCTGATATGTAAGGAGAGCAGAGCCTGCTGGGTCAGAGGTTCACTAGAGGTCTGCATCTTGGTTGGGGTATGTTGGATGTAAAATGCAACATCCTCTGGAAATGTAGGAAGCTAATCGGATCCCTGAAGTGACAGCCATCTTTATTACAGGGCAGTTCTGGGGAGGGGTTGTCCCTGAGCGTTTAACCAGAAGTTCTTCACAACCAAATCTGAGATTAATGGTCATACGTGGTGGGAAGAGACCAGCATTCCCGGACAGGATCTTCAAGAACATTAAACAAGAGACATCTCTTTAATAAATGAATAAAAATAATGCTGGCTTTGTTGTAAACTGACATATTTAGTGGGTTCTTCTGAAAAGCGTTTGTAAAACTTTAGATCAAGTTAAAAGGCTCCTTACCTATCCTATGTAGGGTAGGATATGAGAGAGAGGGAAAAAATCATGACTTCAAAGAAATAAAATCAATGTCCACACAAGACTTACTGATGACGTAACACACACTGGTTGCAGGATTCAGAGAAATCAAGTTAGAACTGAGCTGGAAACTTCCTCTTGGCTTTTATAGTGCCAGAAGGTACTATGCAGGCCTCTGAAGGATAGAAGTCACCAACAGTATTACCCAGTGGGAAACCCTTTTGTTGTAATACCAACCTAGCAGACAAGATGTGTCCATCAGTGCAATGGTGGTACAAAGGTTATGGGGGTGGTCAACCGCTTTGGATTGAATTTGATGCCTACTCTACCAGAGGGAATTGATGCCTGGTACTGTAAACTTGGTCAAAAAACAAACAAAAACAACATAGTTCAGGAGGTCATAGGTCCTAGAGGGAATGTTCTAGTGTGTAATGTAGTCTTGCTGAATGGACCTGTTGTCGAACTGCTTTCTAAATTTTTATGTTTATACACATAAATTAGTACTGCCTTCAACCTCAGCCAAAAGCATCTCTCTGCTGTTATCAACAGACAAGGCAGACTCATAAGTGGTCCAAGTGCTGAGAATAAGCAGCTGCTGAGTACATAGCCCAAACGGGTCATCTGTAATAACACTCTTCTACTCTAAGGCTCAGAGAACGTCACAGAAGAAGGGGCAGAAGGAATGTAAGAGGCAGAAGATGGGGAGGAGCCCTGTAAAATGCTGTCTGCTGGACATCACCATTGTACTTAACTCATCACAGCTGAGGTGACCTGTACAAGACTCACACAAGATCAAGTCAACAAGTCAACAGTGTCAGCCAACATTCCCATAGGCCGCACAGTAGGTAACAAGAAAAAAAAAAAAAAAAAAAAAAAAAAAAAAAAAGCAAGGAAAGGATGTGAAGAAGGGATTGAGAGGTGAAACTACCAAAGAATGATGATGATGAGATGATGATGATGATGATGATATTCTATTTTTTTTAAAGGTGGAAACAACCCATGTGAATCAATTGATGGATGGATAGATAGGGTATGCCAAGGAATGAAGCATGATACATGCTACAATATAGATAAGTCTTGAGAGCAGGAAGTGTCAGAAGCCGGTCACAGAAGACCACATGCATGGTCAGCACAGGTAAATCTATGGTGGCAGAAAGTAGATCAGGGGCTACTTGTTGCTAGGGGAATATAAGGGGATATGTAAGAGGCATAGGATGTCTTTGGGAGAAGGGTGATGAGAATGCTCTAAAATTAAATGTAGGGTGGTGAGATGACTCCATGGGTCAGGGTGCTTGCTGGCAAGCCTGACAACCAGAGTTAGATCCTGGGGCCCACAGAGCAGAGGAAGAGGAGCGACTCTGACCTCCACATGTATGTACAAAAGTAAAATGCACATGAGCAAACATAATAAAACATTTAAAATACTTAGTCATAAAATTGTGACAATGGATATACCTTTCTGTGAACACACTAAAGTCTATTAAATTATGCACTTCATGAGTGCATGCTTGCGCAAGTATGTGTGTGTGTGTGTGCACGCATGTATGTGTGCGTGCCATGTGTGTGCAGGTACCTGAGGAAGCCAACAGAGGGCATTGGAGTCTCTGGAGCTGGAGTTATGGACAGCTGTTAAGTAGCCAGAAGAGGGGGTTGGGAACCAAACTCGGGGTCCTTTGAAAGAACAGCAAGCGCTCTTAAAAACTGAATCATCTCTCCAGCCACAAACCATGCACTTTAAATGGATTCTACGATGTGTGGATTATATATCAATACAGCTTTTGGGGGGAGTGGTAGCAATCATTTTTATCAATGTGTGTTAATTATCCAGTGATTATGACCATCTCATGTAAACACGTAACATTTTAATTATCCCCATCTTGCTATTGCTATCTTTACTCTTCCCTCTTTCTCTTTTCTATTTATCCTCCTTCCCCTCCCTGCTCTGGAAGTACAGAATTTCAGGAAGCTTTGGGTGACAGGGACAGACTGAAGGTACAGTTCCCCAGGCACTTGTCCTGTACCATTGGTTCTTTTAGGTCTGTTTTCCATCTGAAATGAAGAGGGCTCCCACGATGGCGGGCGGACTCTAAGGGGACGGGCCTTCACTTACCTACTCTCCCCTCCTCAGGACCTATGGAGAGCATCCTTGTGGCTGAGTGAGCCAGGAGGTCTGAAGCAGAAGCCTTGGCCAAACATAGTTGTCTTTTGGAATTTTAGGTCAAGATATATATATCTCAGGGAGGAGGAAAGACTTGAACACTTTAAGCTAACTTTGAAGGCTCTGTAACACCCAGTGTAGAATTAGATGACATTGGATTCTAACAACAACAACAAAAAGGACAAAGGATGATGGCAAGGACAGGTGTCCTGTGACAGTTACCCCTTATTAGACAGCCTTGTTTCCAGGCTTGCAGCTCTGCTACCTCATACCACTTCAGAGAGGCATCCTGAACAGACCTGCGCAGACTTTGAAGCGCCCCAGCCATTTCACGGGAGTTCCTTCTGTTTCCCCCATCTAAGTCTCAGAGCCCCACCCTGAGTGGCAAAGCCCAGAAAATATAGAGAAAAGAGAAGGGTGGGTGTAGAAAGCCAATTTTGAAACTTGGGGTTTTCTCTCCTTTCAACATTTAAACATGTAGTCTTTGAGCCGTTTTCCTACATAGGCATGGGGGTTTTGAAGCTTTTATATTTATTTATTGGGTGCAGGGCAGACACGAATGTGCCATGCTTCGCTTTTGCATGTGGAAGTCGGGAGACAACAAGTAGGGAATCGGTTCTCTCTTTCTATGACGTGGGGTCCCAAGATTCAGCTCAGGTCATCAGGCTTAGCAGCAAGTGGCTTTACCAGCTAAGTCACCTCATTGGCACAGGCATGGGGTTTTAATGCGGCCCCTGGCCTTGTTTTATAATTGGTGCATATTTTTCATAAATAGCTGCTATTTCACCAAGAATTTTTGCTTACAATTCTCCCACATCTGAAAAGACAAGCCTGTTACTAACTCAAGAACCAACTGTTCTGTATGGCTGGAATTTTAAGAAAGTCCTTCGATCGTTGTCCTTCTGACCAGTGAAACTGGTTTACAGACCGTGGTTGATTAGTGCCTCAGAGGGCACTGTCCAGGGCACAGAGGATGCATCTCAGGGCTACGTGTGAATGTAGCATGTACGAGGCTCTGGGTTCCAGCCTCAGCACCATTTACTCGAGATGCTTCCCAATTTCCGGCAAGAAAAAGTCAAGAGGTTCACTGAGTGTGGTGTGGTGTGGTGATGCTCAACTGGCAGCCCAGCCCTTGGGAGGCTAAGGCAGGACGGCTGCCAGTTTGAAGCTAGCCTGGGTGCACAAGACCTTGTCTCAAAAGAACCAGAAGAAAAGGAAAAAGAAAAGGGAGGAAGAGAGAACTGGCCCACCATGGACGTACTGCCAGCACTTTTGCAACCCTGGCGGTAGGGGGTTGTTTATATCCCCACTATTTCCATCTGCAGAAGGGCAATGGGCTGGGCAATGACCCTCGGCTCTCTTCTATAAACACACTGACATGTTATCCAGAACATTCCCCCTGTCTGTCAGAGGCAGGCAGTCTGTGACCCTCTGCCTCATCCGGCTGGTCTATGACTGGCAGGGCTTTCGTGGACATTTCCACCCTTCCCTGCTCAGGGCACAGACTGCTGGTTGGTGGGCAGTTAACTCTCAGCTCAGGCTGGCTGAGCTCTTTAAAGGAAACAGCCTGCAGTCTTTGGCACAAACAGGGAGAGGAGGAAGGACATTTACAGTCATCTTAGACACTGAGCACCAAACAAGAAGGGACACCTTAGAGCCAACTGACCCTCAGCCACAAGACGGAAACATCCAGAACATGGGTGGTAGAGCCGGTTTACAAGGCATGGTGTTTTCCTTGTGTACTCAGGAAGGATTTCTAAAGTCAAGAGGCAGTGTTTCCATAAACAAACATGACAAAGAATGCGTGCAAGGCGGCTCTGGGCATCAGAGGAGTCGTGGTCTTCACAGTACAGAGGCCTCTTGAACCTTGCTGAGAGACGGTGATGTGCTCACCTGGATGGGGCTTCCCTTTGGGATGAAGGGGGACTGGAGAGTGAGAATGGACCTTGGCTTATCCACATGTGATGTGAGTCCTCCCTCCACCACATGAAGCTCCACAAGCCAGGAACCATCACTCCGGTTCATCGCCATGAAAAGGCAATTCAGAGGTAGCAGTGATAGGAACTGAGAATTTGGGATTTGAGACTATTTGACGCTATTGCTCTAAAAGGACATTGGCATTAAAATGGATGAGCTGTGACTAACTTGCCTGTCTTTTAGATGAATTAATCAACACATCCCTGGATCCTGTTGTAATGTTTATTGGAGACCAAGACGATGCTTTTCATGTTTTTCTGTAGTTGGACAGGGAGCAAGGAGCAGGCTCTCGACTATGTAGCTCTCAGCTATGCTGGAACACTCTATATGGCTCAGACTAGCCTCCAACTCATGGGTAATCCTTCTGCTTCAGCCTTCTGAAAGCAGAATTACAGGTGTGCATCACCACTCCTGGCTTTAACTTTTCTTGAGGTAAAAGTGTTTTGGTTTTTGCAGAGGTGGGGATGCACACCTCTGATCCCAGCATTCAGGAGGCAGAGGCTGGAGGATTGAGGGTTTGAGGCTAGCCTGTACTACACAGTAAGACCCCGTCTCAGGGAACAAACAAAGCAAGACTTAATCCCTTTCATTAATGGTACAAATAGCTTCTTGCTTTTAATTTATTTTTTCCCCTTGCTTTTATCTCACTGCAGAAATTAGGTAAACCAATGAGTTTTCTTGGGTGTTGAGACACAAATATAGTCATACATTGCAAACCCATATCCCAGTCAAGGATAGACCATATGCACAATAGTATTCACCATACAGCCCGAGTTCACTAGGCTACACAGTCAAGGTTTGCACAAGGGTACTGTGAGGTTTGCCCAATGATGAAATCACCTATGACAGTTCCTGGAACTCGTTCTATCATTATGGGTCATATGAGTGCATATTGGATTAAAGCTAGGAGTAAGAAGGGAGTTGTTTCCTTTACCCTATGCTAGGGCATGTCTCCATGCTGAGGCTGCTCTGACATGCAGCCGGAACAGCCAAGGAAGAGATAGATGAGTGAGAGGCAGGAAATGGGCTAACTGCACCCCAGGTGCGCTGTCTTTAGAGAGATGTCAGTCATAGCTTCCTACATGCTGATCGTCTCTTCCCAAATCCAGCCAAGCAGAGCTCAGGCCCCTTCCTCTAGGGACTCTACTCAGATTCCGGCATTTCTTATGCCCATCGTGAGAGAACGACTTCTCTGGCATTGTCCACAGCCCACAGCGAGGGCATTTTACCCCTGCTACAGGCTGCTAGGGACTCTGTCTTCCACTGCCCCACAACAGCTGGGCTCTTGGTTCCTAGTAAAAAGAGAGTTTGTCTGTCCTTGTTGGGGCTTACTGGTGCTGGGCACACAGAAACTTTACGATAAATGCTCTCCTAGACTGGCTCAACCCTTCTTCCTAGAATAGTAAACTTACCCTTCCTGGTTGTTTGAATGTTTGGCCCATAAGGAGTGGCGCTATTAGAAGGTGTGGCCTTGCCGGAGTGGGTGTGGCTTTGCTGGAGGAAGCGAGCCACTGCTGAGCTGGACCTTGGGGTCTCAAGCCATGCCCAGCGTGACAGTTCACACTGTTGCCTGTGGATCAAGATTAAGATGCAGAACTCTGAGCTCCTTCTGCAGAGCTCTGATTGCCTGTGTGCTGCTGTGATTTCTCTCCACGATGATAATGGACTAAATCTCTGAAACTGTAAGCTAGCCTCAAGGAGATGTTTTCCTTTATAAGAGTTGCCGTGGTCATGGTTTCTCTAGAACACTGACTAAGACACTGGTGAATGTGCTTCAAAGTCATTAACTCGTGGAACTTTATGCTTTTCTTTCTTCATCTTCTGAGGATGCACACATGGTCTTGGGCAGCCAAACACTGCACCATTCCCGCCTCTCTCAGAGCTGTCTAGTGGCCTTAACATCTTCTTCAAAAATTAGTTTTACTTTTTTATGATATGACTATTTTGCCTGCATATGTGTGTACCACATATGTGGCTGGTGCCCCAGGAAGTCAGAAGAAGGTATTGGATACTCTGGACCTGAAGTTATGTGGAGGGTTGTGAGCGACCAGGTGTGGTGTTGGGAACTGACCGTGGGTCCTCTGGAAAGACAGTGAGTTCTAGCCAGTGAGCCACCTCTCCAGCCCCGGCCTCAGCATCGTAGAGGGGACAGGAGGAGTTTGGTGCTAGTGAATGTGCAACAGGCACGTGTGAGATCCTGCATTTAACCATGCACATGCACACACACACAGCCCTGATACCAACAGCAAAGGGCATTTATATGATCGAGAAGAAAGGGAAAAAAGACATGGGGAGAAATTAGCAGCAAGCCCTACGCTGGTCACCTTCATGAGCCTTACCTGGCTTAGTGCTCAGCCTAGGCTGTGAGGTGGTTGTCTCATTATCCTTATTACAAACAGGGAGCCCTAGGCTCAAAAAGCCCTATCCACTTGTGTGGGGCCACACAGATTCTGAAATTTCAGTGAAAGTCACGGGATTGGGAAATGCACAGTAAAACAAAGTAATCATTTAGTGACATTAAGTTTGACCATGACATTGATTAAGTTAGAATATTAATTAAAGATTAATTTTTAATTAAAATGTTTTTAGGCCTTAAAATTTCATACATGTGAAAGTTTTGCCTGCATGTTCATATATATTTGTATGTGCCTAGTGTCTGTAGATCTCAGAAGTTGCCCTGGAACTGGAGTTACAGATAGGTGTGAACCAGCTTGTGGAGCTGGGCAACAGGCGCCCTAGCTACCGAGCCATCTCTCCAGCCCCGTGACAGAACTATTAACCCGGGATGTTAGACACACAGACTGCTCTGGGGGACAACTCTCCACACCACGACGAAGAAATCATTCTCATCTATTTTCAGCTCTATGAGTTCTGAAGATGCCCATCATCCGTGACTTCGTCCTAACCCATCCAAACTCTTCCGATCTTAAACACCAGAAACTTAACATCCCATGTTAAATTCTGAGAACTTAGCCAAATTCAATGTTCACTCAACTTGAGAAACGTATTTTTAAAAATCACATAATGAAGCACCTTCTTTGTAGTTCAGATGGTCTGGCTAACTAACCATGCCGACACACCAAGTCAAAACTTGCTTCTAATTATTACGCCTACTCTGTGACCAACAGTCACAAAAACGCATTAGGGGCAAACACCTTTCAACATCGGATGCATGGAATCTCCCACGCGTCTATCTGACATGCCCGGCCCATTTGCTTACATGGATCCTAGAAGGATGCCTCTCTTGGGCTACCAGGCAGGCTGCACAGCCTTCCCACAGGGACCACATGTCACCATTCAAATGCATCTTCAACTCAGACACCATTAACACTCCCAAAGCATACCAGCCTGGGCTCAGGTTTTTCAGGCCAGGTGAAAACAAAGCTTGGGAATGAAACGTCTTCACATGCGGGAGAGGAGAGGCTGGGCTCTTTTGCTGGTACTCACCTGTTGGGTTTGAGGGGATGTCCAGGAGGGTCTTCAATAGCTTCATATCTTTAATGTTGTGGATATAGATGGATTCTTCAAGGCAGACCAGCAGCCTCTGTAATCAGACAGAACCATCAGCCTCCCACATAGAGCCCCTGAAAAGGCATTTGCCAAGTCCTTGCTCATCTTTCCTGTGAGTTCTAACTTGATTCCATGCCTACAGGAGGAATGTTAATGAAGCCTTTAGAAGGTCGTGTTTACGGACATAAACAGACATAGATAGCATTGCCTGCTTGGGCAGATGTTTAAAATACAAGATCCTAAGTTTTACTTTAGAGATTTCTCTCTCCCTCCTCCTCCTTTTATTTCTCCCTCGTTCCTTCCTTCCCTCCTTTCCCCTCATCTCTCCCTAAAACAAGATGGTTCAGGGAACCTCTTTATTCTGTTCCACATTCCATGCCGGTGGCCGAGTTCGCCCTCTCATACAACTGCAGGCTTCCTTACACGCTCGGCATCACTAAATCTTAGATGCGATCCCTTTCTCTATGTTTTGTATCCTGACACAGGGTTTCACTAAGTTGCCAAGGCTGGCCTTGGACTCACTCAGGCATATTCTGAACTCACGGTTCTTCTGCCTCAGATGCGCAAGTAGCAGGGACAACAGGGCAGAGACACCCTGCCCACCCCAACCTCACCTCCAGGTACCCTGTATTTTAATCAGCGCACTCTGGCCACAGGGCTGAAACTGCATAAGTAAAGAACATTCTAACAAGACCTCAGGGTTGGGATCAGTGAAATGGCTCAGTAGGAAAATGAATTTGCTCAAGTTCGAGGACCCAGATTTAATCCCTGGAACCCACATAAAGACGGAAGGGAGAATAAACTCCACACACACAGTTGTCCTCTGACCTTTACATGTTCTCTATGGTACATGCACAACCCCACCCCCATTCCACCCACCCACCCACACACCCACACACACACACACACACACACACACACACACACGAACTTCAAAGTTTATAAAAGGGAGGCTGGAGAGATGGCTCAGCAGTTCAGAGCACTTGTGCTCTTGCAGAGGACCTGGGTTCAGTTCCCAGCACCCACGTGGCACGCAATCGCCTGGAGCTCCAGTTCCAGGGGATCTCACGTCCTTCTGTCCACCGCGGCCACTGCGTGAATGTGGTGCACATTCATAAATATGGTAGGACACTCATACACAGAGTGACTTTATTTTATGTGCATTGGTGTGAAGGCGTCAGATCCCCTGGAACTGGAGTTACAGACAGTTGTGAGCTGCCACGTGGGTGCTGGGAACTGAACCCAGGACCTCTGAAGGAGCAGCCAGTGCTCTTAACCATTGAGCCATCTCTCCAGCCCCGCAAAAGAGATTTTTAAAAACTTAGCAAAAGATACTTCCCCCCCCCCCAAAACGGGTGACAAACATTGCCACTTCTCTGTGAAGTGGTCACCTGATCGGTCACTTTGCATTCTGGCAGCCACACCAGAGTTTGTTTTTATGTTTTTCTATGCTTGTTTCTGTTCTGAGTTTCCAATAGCCCCTGGGATCCCTGTCCAGCCCTGCCCCCAGCCCTCAGGAGAGAATGACCCTGACAGTTCCTCCTGAGGAGCATCATCTCCTTTAGGCTTGTCTGACAGGGTCAGCATCATTACAGTGTTGTCACCAGGACCCCTCTGGGTCACCACCATGCTGGCCAGAGACGAGAATGAAAAGGGGGGGGGCAGGAAATGCAGGGAGAGTATGAGGAAGTGCTTGTCCTGAGTCACACAAGAGCTGGCTTCCTGGACAAGCACAAGCGGGCGACAACTGCCGCACCAGCTGTTCTAAGGCTGCAGCCACCCCTGCCCTTAGCCAGCCACCGACGTTCATTTTGTAGCCCAGGCTAAGCACAAACTCCCTGTGTAGCCCGGGTTGACTTTGAATTTCCAGTTTTCCCATCCCCACATCCCAAGTGCTGGGGTCACAGGTATGGCTCATCAATTCTGGTTTTATGTGGTGCTGGGAATTGAACCCAGAGCTTTGAGCACGCCAGGCAAACACTCTGCCAACTCAACTACATTCCCAGCCCACTTTGACTTTCATCTTACGTTTTATGGGTAGTTAACCCTTTTCATCAACTAAAGAATTAGACATCTGCCTTAAGCATCTGCCTCAAAGGCTTCAATCCAATCAGCGTGCAGTGGGGTCACGGGAAGCAGATGGTTAAATACCTGTAAAAGCTTCCATAGCTAATGACATCCAGCTTACTGCTGTCATCTAAGGAAATACATTTCTGCATTAAACACAATCGGAACAACACTAACCAGAAATGGAACACATCAGGATTTCTTAGCACCTTTCCTTTCTGCCTACCCAGAGGGATTTTTGTGGATGGGTTACATGTGTGGTACATGCACACATGTGTGTGAGGGTGAAAATGCAGAGCCGAGGAAGGAAGTCAGGTGTCCTCCTCCATCACTCTCTGCTTTGTTCTCTTGAGACAGGGTCTGTCAGTGCACTTGGAGCTTGAAATTTTCATCTAGGCTGGAGGTCAGCAAACCCAGCTTCTCATAGCACCACTTACAGGTGTGTGTGTGTGTGTGTGTGTGTGTGTGTGTGTGTGTGTGTGTATCCAGTCACATTTAGTTTTTTACATGGTTGGCTGGGAGATCAACTCGGGTCTCGGGTCCTCATGCTAAGCACAGCAAGCATAGGCCTACCCAACGAGCCATCTCCTAGCCCTTGTTTTTATATGTACTTATTTATTTATTGTGTGTATGAGCATATTTGCTTTTTTTTTGAGACAGGGTCTCATTGCAGCCCAGGCTTCCCTGTAATTTGCTATACAGCAGAAGATGGCTTTGAATTTCCCATCCTCCTCCATCTACCTCACAAGTGCTGGGATTATAGGCATGCATCATCGCACCTGGTTTTATGGGGGCGAACCCAGGGCCTTGTGCATGGTAGGCAAGCACTCACTAGACCAGCTGAGCTTCATTCCTGGCTCTGAACACAAGGGTTCCGTTTTGTTTGTTTTGAGATAGAGTCCTATTCTGGATAGCCCAGGCTATCCTTTGATATGCAGTTCTCTTGCCCAGGCCTTCTAAGTGCTTGAACTATGAGAGTGCACTAGTAGACATTATTTGAAAACATGGGTTTTTGTTTCTTTGTAACTTCTTAACTAATTCTGTCATTTTTCCTGTTTTTGTAAAGGAACCATGTCTGAAGACTTGACACCAGCAGGATAATTACTGTAGAGCAAAAGTAAGCTCAGCCTGTGTCCTTTGCGGGTTCCCCTGGGCAGGCAGAGCTGCACAGGCATTGCAAGACTTCCTTGCAGCAGGTGAATTGCCTAGGCCAAACATTAAGTTCAAAGTCTGGCAATTTTAAGAAAAGAAAACCAGAGCCCATTCTAGATCTGCATCAACTGATCTTGGACCACAAAAAGGCTAAAGGAAGGTACTGGCATCAACTCTGGCTTGCTGCTAGCTGGGAACTAAGTGTGGAGCAGAGCTGCCTTCATCTGTGTTCTCTAGAAGAAGGGGCATGAGGACCTGAAGTTGATGGCTGTTCTGTTGGTGGAGGCTGGTGCCCAAAGTCTACCAGACCCAGACACTTATGTAGTTCTTTCTTGCCTTGTTTGCTAATGCGACCACCTGAGAGATCATACCAGCAAATTCCATGGGTACGACTCAAGATCTCTGGTGGTAATAACATTTCACTGACTCATCTTCAAAAGGTGGTCAGGTACCAAACAGATACTCAGCTGTCATATGCTGGCGACTATGTGCAGAATGGAAGGTTCTGCAACAAAACTTGCAACAGATTCTAGGGCACGCTTGAGCCAAGAACCCCACTTGAAATCTCTCAAGTAGGAAATTCCCAAGCTGCCCTCCCTCCTTACTGAGACCTCAGGCTTCTTTTCTGCCTCTTGCCTGCTCTGTGTCACTGAAATGTTCGACCTTCTGATTCAATGGCTGTTTTCTATGAATTTAGTGGATATTTAGTCACTGATTGACTCAAAGCAATGAGCCAGGTATAGTGCTCAATCTTACAGCGCCAGCATTCGGGGGAGTTGGGGCTGAAGCAGGAGGATTGCTTTGAGGTCCAGGCTAGCCTAGGTTACTGAATAAGACTATCTCGACGAAACAAACCAACAAAACACTGAAAGTGACAATCATTTCCTTCTCAGAAGCTTAACAAAACCCTTGGCCTCATCATTTATAAATAATAATAATCATAGGGTTGGGGAGATAGATTGGCAGTTAGGAACGGTGGCTTTTCTTGCAGAGGATTTGGCGTTCAGTTCCCAACAACCACATGGTAGATAGACCACAATCTGCCTCTAACTCCAGTTCCCAGGTTCCACCACGCTCGTCTGGCCTCCTCAGGCACAGCATGCACTGGTGTACACACATGTAGGCAAACTACTCATATACATAAAATAAGAACAAGCCTTAAAAATTATTAATCATCATTTAATAGTTCAGATTCAAGAAGAGGAAGAGGAGGAGGAGGAAGAAGGAATAATAATAATAATAATAATAATAATAATAATAAACTACTATCCTCAAGGAATGCCACTGATTCCCTGTTCCAGGGAATACTGAACCCAGCAGCTAACTTTGCATATCCCAGAATAAGGGTCTTTTGGTTTATCCACTTACTTAACAGGCAGGAGAAAATATTCAGGAATGCTCTCCCATCAAGTCTCATGGTAATGAACAGAACTGCCACAGCCCCTGCTCTCCCAGGATCTAAAACCCATTCACTCCAGGAGAGTATGCCAACACGATAAATATCTCCCTCCTAAGTGCTAAGGTTTTTTTTTTAAAAAAGGCGTACTGCAGCCAGGCATTGGTGATGCATGCCTTTAATCCCAACACCTGGGAGGCAGAGGCAGGCGGATCTCTGTGAGTTTGAGGCCAGCCTGGTCTACAGAGCAAGTTCCAGGACAGGCTCCAGGACAGAGAAACCCTGTCTGGAAAACAAAAAACAAAAAACAAAAACAAAACAAAACAAAAAAAAAACACGGCATACTGCATATTTGAGATGAGAGTAATTTTCCTTTCTGCAATGAAAACACAAGGATACATCCTCAAGAATTACCTGGAGGAGCTGGTGGTAGAGCTTAGTGGTGGAGCTCTCACTTAGCTGAGAGATGTACTAGGTTCAATCCCCTGCATGGCAGGGAAGGAATGGGTATTGGCTGCAAAAGCAGAAACATGACATTGTGTAGCTGACCGAGAAGGAGAGGCCACATAGAGAGCAGAAGGTCAGTTTCACCTACTGACTTTAGAGCTGACCCTTGGGACCACAGCCTAGTCCCAGGTATGTTGTTCTCAGGGCAGGGCCAAGGTGCACAGTAAATCTTACGGCTTAGGGCCAAGACAAGAAGACGTCTTCCTCTCATTTTAGATGTCCTGAGGCAGTTCATATGACAGGCTTGTGTCAGAGTCCCAACCTGTCTGTGCTGGTGTCCAGCCTGTCCCAAGAGGAGATGGTGAGCTTGGCCAGGCAATGACCAACATGACAACATGAGCCACTATGACCCGGGAGAATGCACAGAGTAGATGATGCTCTTTGTACTTCACTCAGGAGCCCAAGCCCACTGTTAAGCATCTGTTAAATTATCTACAGCATTTGATACTAGTTTTAGAGACTTTTGTTCTTATCCTTTTTTTTTTTTTTTAAGACAGGGTCTGATGCAGTCCACACCAGGCTCAAACTTGTTATATTGCCAAGAAGCATGGCTTTAATCTTCTGATTCTCCTGCCTCTACCCACTGAGTGCTAGCATCACGGGTGCCCACCTGGGTTTATCCTGGTATCACAGGTTCACACCACCACACTGCCCTGTCTATGGCGAGCTGTGGATCAAATCCAGGTCTCTGCAGGTCCCAGCTAGTACGCTGAGCTATATCTCAAAGACATTTATCTTAAAATTTTTATGACATTTATTTATTTCTGTCTGTGTGTGCGTGCACACATACTGCGTGTATGCAGAGGCCAAAGGGCAACTTGTAGGAGTCAGTTTTGCCCTTCTACCAGGTGGGTGGTGGGGACTGAGCTCAGCTTATGAGGCTTGGTGACAAGGGCCTTTACCTGCTGGACCATCCTGCCAGCCCAAAGACATTCATCTTTAGAGATGTTTTACTTTTGTTCCAATTGGCAGAAGCCTAGAAACCATGATGAGCCTGCCTCCTCACCTGCCGGTTCAGCCGTATGGACAAAATGTTGCTGGAGTAGCTGTAGTTACAGATCTCAGTGCCTTTCTTGAAGTGGTACACGTTCATCTGCCGAGGTTTTGTGTGACTGACCACCACCACCAGGCTGCTGGAGAAGAGGCGCTCCACGATGTACACGTCGGGGATTTCATCTGTGAGGAGCAACAGCAGTGAGGTCTCCTAGATGGCCTCTTTGAGGAAGACCTTGGAATTTGGGACACTGGGTACTACACAGGCTAGTTCACACATGGGCTCTGGGTCTCGCTACAGGGTATCCTCCATCAGTAATGACCCACCACAGCCCCATCAGCAAGCTTTAAGTGTCTCCAGGGACCTTTCCATGTACCTAAAGCAAGGAATATCCTGATGACTAAGACACAAAGCCAGGATCTCCAGAGCCAATGCATGGTACCCATGGTAGAATTACACACTAACCACACACACACACACACACACACACGTTCTCATTTACTGTGTATGTGTGTATTTGTGCTTATCACAACACACATGTGAAAGTCAGAAGACAACTTACAAGATAGTTGGTTCTCTTTTCCTACCATGTGAGTCTTGCAGAATGAACTCAGATTATGAGGCTTGGCATCAAGATCCATATTGCCAGACCCCTCCTTAACCCCTTGCTCTATAACCTAGGCTGGCCTTGAGCTCACGATCTTTCTGACTCAGCATCCTGAATGCTGGTTTTTATGGATGTGAACCACCATAACTGGTGCAGAAAGAGAGGGATATCAGTAAGCCTCCAGAGTACCATAGACAAGGCCTCAGTGTCTTTCTGAGGCCATTTTGTCACATGTCTTTCTTGATTATTTGTAGGGAATATGACATGAGACATATACAATGAAATATTCACAAAACAATATGATAATAATAACATCTTAAAACTAGGTGCCAAGGGCAGAGGAGATGGCTCAGTGGGTAAAGTGCTTGCCATGTAAAGCTGATGTGGTAGCAGTCTCTAATCCCATGTTCTATGAGATGGGAGACTGGGATAGGAGAACCCCTGGGAACTCAGGGTCCAGCTCTTTTGGGATACACAATGGCAGACAACTCTGTCTCAAGGTGGAAGGTGAGGATGGACACATGTGAATGGATACACACCTTCTCATGCACACATCTCTATCACTCACGGAGATAAAAAATAATAAATAAATAACAAATTATGAGCCCCAGTTATTATTTACAAAACCAGTTTCTTTCCAGAAAATGCAGAGGTGAAGTATCTGTCTCTATGGCAATAGCATAAATTGTCACCCTGAGAAAAATCTCAGTCACATTTGTAAGTGGAATTATTTTTTAATAACTCATTAGAAATACTTCAACATCTTTAATATGTGCCATGCAGACATGGCCGTGTCACTTCATTCAAGCATATAAAACATGGCCCTACTAAGTGAACGGTGTCAATAGGCTACAGAGCCAGTGTAACAGCAAAAAGTAGCAACAAGTGCCCCTTTAGGTTGGCAATGACAAAAACCGATGACCATGTGCACAGATACATAGAAAGGCATCAACAACATGATTTCAAACAAGGGCTTTCTTCTTACAAAGAAGAAAATGTCACTTAAGGTATTGCCAAATTTCAGTAATAGCTTCATTGTGGCTTTTATGCAAGAGGAGACAATGGTTCACACTCAAATATCCACACACCACCAGCTCTTTAGGCTGATGGCTCAGACAGAAACCAGAAGCTCAAGACTGAAGTCTATGGCTGGGGCATATAGCCTTGCTGGTGGAGTGTTTTTAAGAGGCTGGGTTCAATCCCCAGGACTCCAAAAAGAAGAAAATCAAGGGGGAAAGAAAAGGATTGCCCTGTTTAGGGGGTGGATTTGGTGTCCCTTCAATCCTTCTTCCTAAGACACACACACACACACACACACACACACACACACACACACACACACTTACTGCTTCCATGGACTTGGTCAAGGTGTTCCACAGAACTCAAAGAAAACAGCTTGTAGCCGGCCTTGGTTCCAATCGCTAGGGATCTGCAGAAGATAATGACATCATGGGAATGACCACAGATAACTGCATCCCAACCACAGCCCTGTCTGAGAACTCACAGCCCTTTCCCCAGAGGCTGCTAACGTGCAGGTAAACAGGTATCTTCAGGACTCAGATCCTTGATAACCTACTCAAGGCAAGGTACGCTTTGACAGACAGTCATGCGGAAAAGAGAAAAGGTCAAAGGAGACTTTTTAAGAGACAGAAATTGCCTGGGCTCTGTCACCAAGCGAAATGTCAACGCTCTCACAGGTCTTGTTTTCCCAGATGGGCAGGAGTAGTAAAAAAAGGAATGCTTAGGAACAGGCATTGCATCTCCACCTCCACAATGCTTAAGAGATCGTCTTATTGTTTGTTTGGGAAGCTCTTTACCAGGGGTAATTATCATTATGCGTGTGCGCGCTCAGATACATGTGCATGGAGGCTAGAAACAAAACTCAGTGTCTTCCTCAATTTATATCTACCTTATTTTTGTGATCAGAGGGATCTCTTACCAAACCTGATGCTCCCTGGTCTGCCTAAGCTGGCTGTAGCAAGCTCCAGGGATCATCTTGTCTGTCTCCACCATGCTAAGATTCCAGTCCCCATGCCTCGCTTGTCCAATGAGTGCCAAGACTCAAACTCAGGCCCTAATTGTTGCATAGGAGAACATTTTACCAACAGAGTCATCTCTCCAGCACCAGGTTTTTTGTTTATTTGTTTGTTTTGTTTTTGTTTATTTTGTTTTTCCCCCTGTCCTTAAAAGACCAAAACAAAACACCCAAAACTATTTTTGGTTAATAGAAGAAATACACACTGGGGCTTGGAGATGACTCAGCAGGGAAAGGCACTTGCCACTAAGCCTGATGACTTGAGTTCCAGTCCTGAGACCCACATAGTGAAAGGAGACAACCAGTTCCCTCCAGTTGCCTTCTGACCTCGCACACATGCATGTAGCAGGAGTGCATGCACACAGAATGAATTCATAAGGTATTAAAAAGCAGAAAATAAACACACAGTGTTTTAAGAATGCTTCCTCTCACCAGTTTCTATGAAAAATACTATATGGACTTTAGGAACTCTACTGGGGAGCTTAATTATTTTGTTTTTAAAAGTCAAGTTCTCTAACCTGCAGTCAGATTTGGAAACTGCTTTATGCTGTGACCTATGAAGCTATTTCCATTACCAACGAATAACATAAAAACAAAACACTTAATTGCTTTGGTGTGGGCTAAGAAAAGGCTTTCAATTTTCACACTTTGTGTGTGTTTATGCATATGCATCTTATTAAAAGATTTTTAATATTTGCACTTTGTTTTTATTTATGAGAGAGAGAGAGAGAGAGAGAGAGAGTGTGTGTGTGTGTGTGTGTGTGTGTGCACATACGCTGTCTACACATCAGGGAGCTCAGTGGAGAGGCAAGGCTGGTTAGCTAGCCAACCCAGGGAGGACTCTGCCAATCTCCACCTCCCCAGAGCTGGGATTACAAGCATTCACCATTTCATCCAGCTATTGATTGATCATTACTACTAACATTATATAGATTCTAGGGCTCATATCTACATCTCACTGACTCAGCTATCAACCCAGCCCCAATTTTCCACTTTTAACTCTTTAATTTTTTGAGTTTGCTGGTTGGCTTTTTTCTCAACTTGATGCAAGCTACAGTTATCCGGGAAGAGGGAACCTTGCCTGAGAAAATGCCTCCCCATCAGACTGGCTTGCAGGTAAGTCTGTGCCAGTATTTTCTTGACTAATGACTAACATGAGGGGACTCACCCAGCTGTGGGTGGTGCCATGCCTGGACAGCTGGTCCCCATGGAATATAACAGCAAGCTGAGTGGATCAACAGGAGCAAACCGGTAAGCAGCAGCATCCTCCATGGGCCTGCCTCACTTCCTGCCTCCAGGTCACTGCCTAGCACTCTATACTATCTGTGCTTCCCTTCATGATGGGAAGCTATGGCATGAACTAAACCTTTTCCTCCCCCACGTTGCTTTTGCCTTTGGCGTCTATCACAGCAACGAGAGCAAACTATCACACCAGGGTATCCTCAGTGACATGATGAAAACAAAATGAGTGACCAGGTGTAATGCCAGCCCTCGAAAGTGGATCAGGAGGGTCATAAGTTCGAGGCCAGCCTTGACTACATGACAAGACTCTGTCTCCAAATAAATAAATAAAAGGAAAAGCAAATATGTTGCATCTAGCTGGCACTTAAAAGTCACCTCTTACCTCTCCTGCTTTGTTCTCAAAAACGGAGTGAGATTAAAACCTTGCCTAGAACACTCTCGGCATGGACGGTGTGACCACAAGCACTTCTGCCCTCGGAATATGGAATGTCGTGGTTGAAATGGGCCCTCCCAATGGTTCAGTCCAACTTCCTCATTTACAGCAAACATATGCCAAGCTGAGATTCATTCTTCACAGGGAAGCATATACTAAAACAAGCAATTCAAAAGCCTGGATGCCAAGGCTCTTGTTCTCCTACCTAAAAAAAGAGAAGGTCACATGACCCCCACCCCCATAATTCCCTTTTCTACACAAACATTTGTCCTTTCCTGGGACAGAGGAACAAGCAGCTACTGTTATCTTCTATCAGCAAGGCACACACAAGCCCTCCAACCTGAAGAGTAGCTGTGCTTGTCATATGGATGGCTGATGCTGCTGTAGCACAGTTAAACTTGGGGATTTGGCATCCAGCACTTCGGACAAATGCCGACAGTTGTACAAGCAGAGCACATTTGAACTCTAAAATATATTGGAGTAGTTACTACATCAGGTTTTTGTTTTTGTTTCCCCGATGTAGTCTGTCATGTAGCCCAGGCTGGCCTTGGAAACGAGATAGGGACAGAAACCAGAGCTTCATGCATGCAGGACAAGCATCTACTCAGCCCTGATGACCCCCCCCCCCACCACCTCAAAACAGGGTTTCTCTGTGTAACAGTTCTGGCTGTCCTGGAACTCACTGTGTAGATCAGAGGCCTGTCTCTGCCCCCCCCCCCAAGTGCTAGGCATGCATCACCACTGCCTGTCACTGATGATTGTTTTTGAGCTTTCGTCATTTAAACGAAGACACATTTAGTTGCAAACTGAAGGTGTAAAGCTTGCAAGTAAGGGGGGGGGGGAAGACACTATAGAGTCCTAGAACAAAACTAAAAGAGATGTGTAATCCCAACACTTGGGAGGGAAGGCAGAGGCAGGTGGATCTCTACTTGGAGGCACCCAGGGCTATGTAAACAAAACAAAACAAACCACCCAAAACAGCAACAACAAATTAACCAAAATTAAAGTAGGTGTCCAGGGCTGGTGAGGTGGTTCAGCTATAAGCCTGGTGGTCTGCGTTTGAGCCCTAGAGACCATGAAAAAGTGGAATGAGAAGGTCCAGCTCTCACCTTTAAATGCGCACTTTGGCCAGTGTGACCCCACCCCGTCCCTGCTGATATATATATATATATATATATATATATATATATATATATACACACACACACACACACACACATAGTAATAAATAAGTTCAGAACTATCATTTTCAGGCATAAGAGCTGATTCTGGAACAAATAAGTTTCTTCTTTGTTTCTTCATTTTATGTTTGCGACAGGATCTCTCGCTCTGCTGTTCACGCTGCCTCTGGGGTTGTGGGCTGAAGTGATCTTTCCATTCTTGACTCAAGAGTACCTAGGATTCCTCACAAGCCACCACGCTCTGCTGGAAGGGTTGTGTTTGTGGGAAGAGGGCAGTATGATCACGGTTTGTTCTAAATGATTGCTCTGTCCCTAAAAGACTCCAAATCAAGGGCTTGAGAGTTAAGTCTTATTTCATCCACAAGTCCTTGCTACAACAACAAGCTTCTCATCACTGCTCATTGATGTGGAGCTGGAGACACATCTGGATCACAAACTTTAAAATATGCCTAAGATGTCTAGCCCAGCTCCAGAGCATTAAGTATGAGTAGGTGACATTTTAATTCTCTTCATCTACATTCTCTAGAAAGACTAAACGTAAGCTCAGCTCACACGCATGGAAAAAGACACACCAATTGCCCCAAATGCATCCAGCAAGGAAGATGACTTATTTTGAAATTCAATGTCATACCCTCCAGGCCTCCAAGCAACTGACTGTGACAAGACCTTTATTTATAGGTGGAACAGCGCTGCCCAGAAGAGCCTTCATCCAGGAAAACAGAGCTGCGGGGAGGGACCAAGGAAGTCAACTTTTAAAGCACCTTGCACTTGTGAAAAACAGCATTCTTATCCAACGGTTTCTCTGCATTATTGAATAACTAGACTAGACAATAACATTTGTTTTCCAAATCCAATAATACCAGGAAGTGTAATCTACATGATTTACTATTTGTAAGTAAACTAACCCCCTCTTTAACCTATGCTCAATCGGGAAGGAAAACATTACCTAGCATTTCAACAGGCATACGCTCTTGCAAAAGTTTCTTACAAAACTTCAGAATTTTATCTGTTCTATCATGCACTTGATTCTCATCTCGAGAGGATCCCCAAAACAACTCAATAGGTTACACAGCTTTGGAAACAAATAAAGATATAAAAATCCAGGGTCTGGAGGTTGGGGTGGAGACCAGTGACAGAGTCTTTGTCAAGGTTGATTGAGACATTGGATCTTATGTTCAGTACTCTGCAGACCATCTCTCTCTCTCTCTCTCTCTCTCTCTCTCTCTCTCTCTCTCTCTCTCCCTTCCTCTCTCTCTCTCTCTGCCTCTCTCTCTCTCACACACACAGAGTGGGATTTGCCTATCATTCATAAAGCCTTGGATTCCATCCCCTGCACTTCATAAAGTGTTGTATGATGATTTGATGATACTTCCTATAATCTCATCATTCCAGAACAAGAGACAGGAGAATCAGAATTTGAAATTCATCCTCATCTACTAGGGAGTTCGAGGCTGTCTGGATTACAGGAGACCAGCTCAAAACAAAACGAGAACAAAATACCAAGAAAATGCCAGAATGCACCACACTTAATAGTTCGTGAATATTATTACACATCTCTGGCTATTGAGAGATGTCATAACATGTACTTTTTATTGTGGGCTGTGGTCAGAGGCATCGTGAGAGTCACTCATCAAACCAAGCTGTGGAGTTACTCGATTACATGATTACACATACAGATTTTTGAAACAAAGACATATTGTTCAGAGCAGGGCTTTTCAGACAGAAAGACAAAGAGAATGAAAACCGGGGCTGCTTATGGCCTTAATTACACTACTGAATGTTCAATATTAGCACAGCTCAGTCACCAGGAGCCAAACCCCCAAGCCCGAAGCTGACTCCAAACAAGGGACAAGGCAGAAACTGGTACAGCTGGAAGTGGGACACTGGGAAGCAGCCATCCCTGCCCGAGCTGCCTGATGCTTCAGGGCTCCACATTCCAAAGAGATTATTCCATATGGCCCCCCAGGCTGGCGTCCATGAAAACAGTGTAGGAAACAGACGTGTGTTTAAATTCTAAGCCCATCCTGCAGAAGCCTAGAACACTGGCGAGCGATTCCCAGTTCGTGGACCAAAGTCTAAATGTTGACCATCAAAGTGAAACATTAAAAATCCACTTAAAAGCAACAGGGTGGAGTGCCTCCTTCCGGGATGGGAAGCTGTCTGGGACTGAGAAAGGGTTTCTGAGCTTCCTGGAGGAGATTCGTGGAACCGGGTGGACGGTGAGAAAACACAGCAAAGAAAATAAAGAAAAGCTTCTTACAGCCAAAGCGACCGGCCAAAAAGATGCCCCGTTGCTGGGGCTGGCCTGGCCACAGGGATAGGCTGCTTCTTTGTCCAAGGCCCTGCCCAAATGCCACGTTGAGATACTCAAGGACAAATGGTAAAGTTTTCCCCATCTTCCCGACTCTCGCATCCTCTTGAGTCAAGTTGCACCTTCCCTCCTCCCCTCGCCTTTGTTTTGGTCCCAGATCTCCCTTTCGGTCACTAGGTGGCCCACACCAGGTCCCCCGCATTCAAGGCCCCCTCCACCCTACTCCTTGCTGACTTCTTCGGGTCACCCTGGCCAGTCCCTTGGGGCAGGCGCTGGGCGTGGAGGGAGGGGTCGCCTGGGTGGGTTCAAGCCCCATTGCCAAGCAATCCCGCGACTCAGGCTGCCCCACCGAGGCAGCCGGCCCTGGTTGGCCACCAGTTGCGTTACGGACAACACCCTTTGGTGGCGACATTCTGCCCCCCACTTCCCTGGCCAGGGGGCTGGCGCCTTGGCTTACGTGCAATCTTGGTTGAAAGAGAAGCAGCTGAGCGCCGCCTCCACCCGATCCGGAGGGGCGTCTGCGGCTTCGGCCTCCATTGGGGGCTCGACCCGGGAAGCCGCAGCTTGGAGCGGGGGACAGCCACCTCAGCAGCCCGCCCGCGCCGGCTCCGTCGGCCGGCTTGCCGCCTCGGTCCCGCCCCGGCCTCGCCCCCAGGCAGGCCCCGCCCACTCGGATCCCACTTGGCCCCGCCCCTCTCCAGAGCCTCCCACTTAGAGCTGCGGCTCCACCGGGACCAGCCGGGCCCTGGCACTGCCCGGATCGAAGTTAGCCCCGTCCCCGCCTCGAGTCCCGCCCCTCCCGGCTGCAGCCCTACCTGAGTCCCCTTCGGACCTGCACCACCCATTTCCTATTTAGCCCCGCCTCTATGTCCTGGCCCCGCCCCTCACAGCTCTAGCCCGGTCCTGAGCCAACCAGGTCCTGTCCCGATCCACTTCCACTTGGTTCGTCCCCGCCTCTAGCCCCGTCCCCCGGGTCCATCCCGCCTCTTATCTCGGGAACCGACGGGTGACAGGACCGGGCCTCCTCAGCCAGCCACGATTGGCCACCAGCTCTTTGACCAGGCAGTGGTGGTAGTGGGCGGGACTGTTGCTGACGACCCGCCCCCGATCCGGAGACACCGCTTGCCATTGGTCGAAGGTGAGCAGGCCACGTGGTGATGTTTTCATTGCCAGAGCGTCCAGGCTTGGGGAGGAGGAGTGCAGCTGCGTGCTTCAGGCCTGCTGGAGGCAGGGACGACGCCTAGGAGGAGGGCGGACGCCTGCTTTCCCAAGCCAGTCCTTGGCCCCCGCCCGTTAAACTTACAGAATGTAGTTGAAATCTGCAGACATCAAAGCTCCGCCCTTTTGGAGAGTCCTTAAACTGCTGTGGGTCAGGCTGATAAGAAGCCACCCACAGCCCTAGTTCAGGAAGAGTCCTTGCTAATCCCAAGCATTGTACTAAGGGCACTTCCTCGTTCTTCTGGAATCTGGTGTGGAACAGACATTTGCAGAAGACGCAGTTGAAGCACTTGCTAGACAATGCGTCTGAAACCGACAGTATGGAGTGGCATGTAGGGCTGGTACTCTTTCAAGACTTGTGTGCGAATCAACTTTGCTCAACAGCATTTGGCAAGACATCGGATTTGTAGAAACGAAAGAAACTGGAATAGTGTGTGAAAGGGATAGTCTTGAAGACGGTTCGGTTTGAAGTTCGTGTAATTTGAGATGCATTTTGACATAGGAGATTTGTTTCTCAAGCTAAATACTTGAGTACAGTTGTGGGATGCCTGGGGTGGGTTTTGGGAAACCGAATTCCAGCCATCAATAGCTGGAATGCCAGCACCGAATATCTGAAATATTATTATTATTTTATTATGTCACAGCTCTTTAGATCGCAGCAATTCATGTTCACTCACCTTATATTTTCTTTTTTGAGGCTATCGTCACACACTCCTCAAGCATGTGGTGGTTGATCCTCCTTCCTTGGCCTCCCAGGTCATTACAGATGTGAGCCACCATGTTCAGCCAAATTTCGTGACAAAATTGTACACACCATGCATCGATAATTTGAATTTTAGACTTAGAATGGATGAGCAAGAGGGACCTGTTTAACATAAGCTTTTCTGGTTGGTTCTCCAGTTTGATTTTTCCAAAATAAAAATGTAACAGTTTATTTTCTCAAGACAGTTGTTCTGCCAAGTAACAGATCCACCCCTAGGTGACTGCTCTACAACCAATTGTGAGGCACTGTATAAACGAAGCCTAAAGAACCGCTATTTGGACGTTTTGACCTTGGCATCATTGCAGCCTCCTCTGTCCCAGTTGGGTCTCCCTCCACCTCTCAGCTCTGCCAAGTTCTGCCATCCCTTCAGTTTGACAGAGCCACGGACCTTGCAGTCCAGGTGCTAGGTTCCTGGAAGTATTAGATGGAGTGCCAAATAAGGGTCGAAAGTGCAGCCTTTATCAGTTTGGTATTAAGCAGTTAGACTTCGTGGGGGCAGAGAAAGGGGTTAGTTTTAGCCTAGGAGTGTGTCATGATAAAAGCAGTGTCTCAGGCAGATAAACTTGGCTAGTGTGTGCAGATCAAGTTAGAAGGCCCCGAAGGCTTTGGGGAGCCAGCACGACATTCTTGGAGAGATGGGACCAACAACAGAAAGGTTAGGATAAATGCAAGAGCTGTGGGGGGGGGCAGCACATGTGAGACTCATCTATAAGCTGACAGGCAATAGGGCTAGCCAGATGGCTCAGTAAGTAAAGGTGCCTACTGCACGAGCCTGACTGCCCGTGTTCAACCCCCAGAACCCACATACAGGTGGAACAGGAGAACCAACTCCACAAAGCTTGGCCTCCACATGTGCTCTGGGTTATGTGCACTGTTCATAACCAAGCTCTATGATAATAAATAAATAAAAAAACCAGGCAGGTTAATTTTAATATATTCTGCTTAATTCAATATGTAAAAAATAAAGGATGGAAAGACAGGAATATTATGGGGGCATGGGAAAGAAGCAAGGCACCTCATTGTGGAGCCAAGAAGCAAAAGATTCCAACACAAGCCGGGCAGTGGTGGTGCACGCCTTGGGTCCCAGCACTCTGCAGGCAGAGGCATGCAGATCTCTGTGAGTTCAAGGCCAGCCTGGTTTACAAAGAAAGTTCCAGGACAGACAGTCTCCAAAGCCACAGAGAAACCCTGTCTCAAAAAACCAATAAAGTGAAAAAAAAAAAAAAAAAAAAAAAAAAAGAGCTCCCTAGAGGCAGTCTATAATGTGGACCTGTGCCTCTTCTTCTGTAGCTACTGCTAATACATATATGTGTATATATAATATTATATACAATTATATGTTGTTTTTATAGTCACCATAAATTTATTATATATATATTATTTTGATTTGTTACTGTGTGTATGTGATGGGGAGCAGTATTGTATTCCAGTGCACATGTGGACAGAGGACAAATTTTGTGGGTTTGGTTCTTTCCTTCCATGTTTATGTGGGGTTCAGGGGATCAGACCCAGATCTCTAGGCCCTACCTGGTCACCCACCTCACCTTACATAAAATTATTAACCAGTTAAATTATGTTTTAATCTTAAGAAATAAGTGTTTAAGATACACTGTGAATTTCTCACACCCCCACATCACCATAACCCCATGTTCAGGGCCGCCATGTCCTTCTTTGCTTGGTAAGATTTTGTGGGAATAAACAGCAGAGCACAGTGACTGACCATGATGTACCCACACAGGGATGAAGGGGACAATCAGAGCTAATTTCCTCTTTGGAAAAAGGCCTCATTGTGAGGCCTCATTGTGTTGCTCTTAGAAACCAGACCTCTGGGCAGGTGTTTAGGAAGGTAAGTTTTATTCCCCCTTGAGATAGAGATCCAGAGTTGCATAGTCACTGGAACTAGGGTGCAGGCCTAGAGACATACACAGCTTTCTGTGAACACCCTCCTGCATGTGTTGCCTCCTGAGTTCCTGGACCACAACCGTCACCACTCATACAGCAATAACATCTCAAGGCTGCCACCTTCGACTTCATGTTACCCTAAGCCATATATAAACTATTCTCATATGGACCTGTATTAATAGACATCTAAGCTTAGTTTGCTTAAAGCCCTTATCTATTTTGCGTAAGAGGAGCAGATGGATGTGAAGAAACAAGTCAGGATTTGGAAACAGACTCCCAGATGGCTGTGGAGAAAGAAGAGGAGGAAGCAGCTGGTGTCACAACAAGCTAGAGGTTCCAGAGAAAGTCTCAGGTCCTGTGAGGGCTCGGTTTAAAGCGATGCAGGAGTATTCAGACAGAAATACTGGCCAGCAGATGGAAGCTGACTCCTAGGAGTGGAACCGGGTTGGCTGGTACCTGGGGCGTTATTAACTAAGTGGCCCCTTTTAGGTGGCTTGTGAAGGAGACACCCAAGATATGGACTTGACAAACAGCTAATTCTTATTTTCAAAAGCATCGGGTTGGCTATGTTCAGCACATCTGTCACCTGTCTGGATGTGGTTTGTGGAAGGCCAGTTAGTGAGTAAGCAGCCTGCTTGAGTGACTCCGCCCTATAAAAGCATCCAAGAAGCCCATTCATATAAAAAGCCAAGGAAATGGTTATAAATAAGTTCACAGGTGCTGAATGTTTTGACTGTCAGACTGAATTTCCTTTCTGAAGTTCAAGTTCTCTGTTCCATGGGACACTCCTGGTTTGAATTTGAGGCTTGTAACATCTTAATAACTCTCTCTTTCTTCCTTCTCTGATGGCTAATCTTGGTCATCAGCTTGACACACCTGGGAGCGGGGAATCTCAACTGAAGAATTTGTCTGCTCAGTTTGGCCTATGTGTCCAACTGATGGAGCGGCCTAGTCCACTGTGGGTGGTACCATCCCTGCACAGGATAGGCAGATCTGTATAAGAAAAGTAGCTGCATATGAGACCGGGAACAAGTCAGTATAGTGTTCTCTCGTGGTTTCTGCTTCAGGCACCTCCCTCGGCTTCCTCCAGCCATAGATTATGACCTGGAAGTTGCTTTTGGTCATGGTACTTATCACAGCAACTGTGATAGAAACCGAACTCAAATACTTTGTGGCTCATCTTCAGACATAGGGTCCAAGGGTCCTAGCCTGGCCTTGAACTCACTACACAGCTAAAGCTGATCTGGGTTTCTTGATTCCCCTAGTCTCTGCTTCTTAATTGTTGGGATCGCAGGTATGCGCTTCACACCCAGCTTCTAATCCACATTCTTACAACAAGTTCGATATCAAATAATGCAAAAGATATCAGAGCAGAAAACTACAACTTTACTGCATTGGGAATACAAGTTCCCCATTCTCTTCTTCCAGGTGAAACTTTTCAATGTCTATTTCATAAACAATAGATTCGCCAGGTCCCAGGAAACATAAAGCCAGGTTCTGGGAATAAAATGTCATTGGTAATACAAGGTTCTAGACCTCAACTCGCCTCATTCGGACACTTCCTATCTGGATAACGAGCAGGCTTTAATTTTAAGATGCTGATTAGGGTCTGCATGGGGCATTAGCAGGGAAGCTGGAAACGAGACAGACATCCTGTCTGACACAACCCTCCTGCCACTCAATATGGTTGGCCATGCCACACAGCCGCCTATAATTAGAGTAAGTACTAGGTGAACAAATGGCTCTCCTGTCTT